TTTCAGCATGACTTTGCGGCTGTCCTCACTTCTGCAGCAGCAGTTAGGCAGTCTATTCCTGGTTAGTTGAGCAGAACCTTGACTGACAAAAGGAACACAAAGAGAATTGCAATAGTCTTACAGGAAAACTGCCTCCTAGAATGTTCAAGTCTGGTGGTGGTTGGGGGGCGGGTATTGTGTGTAGAGCTTGCTAAGTGAGAACACCAGGGGTTGGTTTGAGGTGGAGTGACACCAGATCAGCAGGCTGTCACAGTCACCGACTGTCCCATCCCTGTGAAGAGCAACTTTCAAAGTATTTGGCCAGTGAGTCATCAGAGAAATGCTATTTCTCATTCTGGAAAAACACCGTATCTCAACGGGATTATTTCACTGTTATCTGTTCTCCCTGGAAAAATGGTGGGGGGTGGGGGAAACACAGCCCCTTAGAAATGAAAGCCATATGCATACCATATTTAAAACAAAACAAAACACAACCCAAGCCATTACATTATTGCTGACCATAGGAATCTAGTATTTATAATTTACATTCTTTCCCATACTTTGCTGTTTTTCAGACGAACAGCAGAGGTTTATGGCTGCGCCGGATCGTAAATCAGACTCCTGGGGGCAGAGGGAGCTGCCACATGCAGGCAGAATCGCCTTCCGACAGTTTGAAGAATGTGTCAAAACACCAGGAGAGGAATCCAGTGCAGATGGGACCCTGCTTCAAGTGATGGCATCTTGACTTATTTGAGGCCACCGGAACAAAGGGATGATGAGGCTGGAGTCCATTCACTCACATGACACCAGTTATTCCTCCATGGAGCATGAAACCAGCCAAAATCACACCGAGCCATTACTGGGAGAGTGGCCTGGAGGCCTGGCCATCCTAACAGAGTAGGCCCAGGTCACACCTTCCAGAAGAAAGGGGGACAAAGCTGTGGGTACTCTAAGGAGCAGGCTTCCCAATGTCCTCCAGCAGGCCACCGAGGCTGGCTGGGATAAAGGTGGGGGCTGTGGTCGGCTAATGCGTAGGATCTGTGCACAGATCCAGTCTTGAGCTGGAGTGGAAGAGCATTAGGCTCTGGGTTGGGATGGCCCTGAATGGCTGTGTGGTCTTGGGTAAGTACTTACCCTCCCCAAGCCTAAAGACCCCAGAAAATGGGGCTAACACTACCAAATGCATGGGATTCAAAAAGAACACACATACACTCATAGGGTGCTGGCCTCAGAGGGCAGGGAAGAGGGTGGTGGCAGGGAAGCCCTCTCCCCTGGAATTGGAATTACTGGCCTGACTTCTGGCTCATGGCAAAGCCAGCTGAGTGCTACTGTGGCACTAGGAAGGTTTAGGGAGAGAGCAGGTTCCATGTCCCACCCAAAGGTCTTTCAAAGGTTCCCAGTCCTCCCAATGCCTTTGCCTGGAAGATTTGTTAGCAGCGGCCCTAGTAAACTCATCTCCCTGCTCCTGGTCTGGATTTCATACACTCCAGAAGGTGGAAGATTCTAAGCATTTCAAAAGCTGAACATTTTTCTTACACCTTTCCCAGGTTGTACCTGTAAAGTACCTCATCAGTCCATGATGTATGCAGTCAGATTGATGACAGTGAGCCAAAGCAGCCCTTTGTCAGGTTAGTGGGAATAGTAAGGTTTACAGTCCAGATTTTCCAGTATGGATTGTTACACAAACCCTGCCTGCAATTTGACACCATAATTACGACTATTGTGTGTACACTTCAGACATGAAAATGCAGTATTTGGTTTAGTTTCAGATTTTTCTACTTTTTTTTAAAGGTAAATTTCCCATGGTTTGAAAAGCCACAACTCCGCTTTACTCAGCACCCAGAACAGGGACACAGCCTCTGTAGGAACACCTGTATCTGAGACTGTGTGGAGGGGCAGGAGGCCATGCAGATCTGAGAAAACCTTCCTGCCATTGTGAGGCATTACTGGTGTCCACAATTTGCAGAGCCTTCCAATAACAAAAGAAAAAATCATTAACACCAGGGGCATAAGAGGCCCATGCATGAGGCTCAAATGGCTAAAGAGGCTGCAAGGTTGGCTGCATCAGCTGTAAAAGCAAAACTCTTGGGCAAATTCTAATTTCTGAGTATGTTCCTGGTCTTACTGGGTTTATGAGAAGGGGGTGGAATTCCTAACACCCTTCTCCTTGCTCCAAGAGGACAATAATGTTGGGGGCTTAGGAGTCCCATTTGACAGCACTGCAGGGAGGAAGTCTGTCCATCAACCAGCCAGGTGTGCTGCACAGAGACCAGTTTCCAGCCAGAGTATGTCTCACGGTGTATGAACTAAGCTTACCTACATGAGGCCTAGGTGATCCCTGAACCTGCTGAAAATCCTTGGCAGTGTTAGATGTGACAAGTATCCTCTTAACAGGCCAGGCAGCTTCACAAATCTTACCAACAAAGTTGCAAGAAAGGGAATGCTACGGCAGAGTCACACATGAATCCTGGACCGATTAGAGGCAGTCTGCAGTAAACGTAGGAAACAAGGGAGTCATGTCAGCATTCCTACAAACTAAAAAAACCAAACTCATATCCAACTATTTTTCTTCTTCTTTATGGACATTTATAAATAATTACTTTAAATTCACAGAAGATAGCAAAATTAAAAATCCATTAATTATTTATTACATCAAAGATAATACCAAAGTTCCATTAAAAATTTTTGTGGCCTTCACCTGTGACAGTCCTAGCATCAAGTTTAGGATAAAATGTGATAAAGGGAAATGTTAAAAAGTGAGCTAGCAGTGAGACTCTGCAGCCTATTGGGCTGAGCCATTACTACTGACACTTGTGAAAAACAAAACCTCTAATATAACCCTTGCAATGCACACACACACAAAGGAAAGAGAGGCATTCATGATGAAACAATGACAAACAGAAGTCTTGGCTCTCTTTACAGCTTGATTTCAATCAGGAAAGTGGGAAATACATTGAGGACTGCAATAGCCTACCTGTGGGATTCCTAGTTTTTATAATAAGAACACTACAAACAAAGCCCTACTGGTGTACACTCTGTAGGACCAGGAATTCAGTTCAAAGAGTACACAGGTTAAACCCCCCCATATTTAAAGTCCCCACTTCAGTCTGGTTTCCAGTGGTTAATTTTCTTTTGCATTTTGTGTTTGGCCTCTCCCTGCAAGGGCCCGACCAAGGGCACTGTTATAAACAAATGTAACCACCCAAGGGTCCAATTCCAAAGAGAGATCCCTGACCAAAAGAGGTATCAGAGGTGCTGCACAGCAGCTTCGGAGGGAAGATCAGTAGGGCTGAACTTGATGTTTTGGTAAAGACCTTTATTTTATTTCTCCTGGGTGAGTATTTTCCTCATGAGCTCACTATAGAAAAGTCCTAGTGAAAATAAGGCTGGCATTTACAGGATGTCTTTTACCATCAAAATGCTTAACAGGACAATGAAATATCCTAGCATTGCTGTGGGAGCAGTTGGCCAAGGCTTTTACAAATGGTGCAGACAGACACAAGAGTGGGGAAAGGCCATGGGAAGACCACACCAACAATGACGAGGAAAGTAGCTAATGCTCAGTGCAGTGCTACTTATGGAGAAAAGGACATAAAACATTCTTCAAGCGCTACGCCCAGGACAAAGGTATCTTTTAAGAGGGCAGTTTGCAAATGGAAAATAAAGATCATGTGCAATTGAATTATTTCTGATATTAAATGATAACTCAGATCTATTCCCATCAATGTCAAATCCATTTCCATAGAAATCAGTGGAAAAAGAGGCCAAACAAGCAGTATGGTTTCTATAGGGAGATTGGCAGCTGTGGTTCTGGCCTGAGGTGGAAAGCACTGTTTTATAACCACTGTTTTGAAGAACTCCTACTGAAATGAGAAAAAGAAAAGGCATGAAAAGTATCTGAGGCCTTTCCTGGCCATTTTGTACAATGCTACAGAGGAAAAACTGTCCCATGTGTACTTTGCTTTTTGCATATCCCACAGGAAAGTCAAAGACACCACATGCTAAACAGGTGGCTTCCTCTATGCTGGCCTTTCAGAAAGGAAACATGCTTCATCAGCCAGGCTGAGTGACTAGTCAGAGGAGCGTCCAAGTGCCAGGCCCAACTCTTCCAGAAAACAAGATTGGAAACACGGCGATGTGGCCCAGGCACAGGAAGGAGAGCAGAGGTAGACGATAACTACAATACACAAAACACTCAGTGCTCAGCAAAGCAAAGTGTGGGAAAAACTAAACAAATTCACCCACTTTCAAAGTAAAGTCATGTTTACATTGCACTTATGTTTAAAGAAGTCCCCTTTGACAGGTTGTAAAAGTGCAAGTGGGTTTGAAACAAGCACCTCTTTGCCTCTCCTCAGCACTTTCATGGGAAGGATGGGGCTGGTGTCTGGACAGCACATGAAAGCTCGGCGCTGCAGCCTGGCACACCCAGCAACCTTAGGCATTGTGCTGGCCGAGTGACTGAGGACACTTCCCTACTAGTTATGTGTCTGGCTGGTTGCTGTCAAGTCTGTGAGACGCTCCAAACCAAGTGGTCACCAGGGGCCCAGGGCACAGGATATGACCCCCGCTTTGCATGATTCATTTAACCCCTTCACCCTGAAATTTCTCTGCAGAGAAAGAAAAACATGACACTTCCATGGTTAAAAATTTCCTTAATGGGGGAAAAGACACTGAAGCCTTTGTGCTGTGAAATGAGGGAACAAAAGGACTGCTTTTAGCATGTTTACACCATAAGCCAATCAGCTAGGTACTGGCCACTCGGAGAAAAAATCCAATCTGGTTGATGTAATCATTACCACAGTAAAGGACAATAACTTTTGTTCATTTCTTACTGATCACTTGGGAAGGCTAAGAAATAGAATACGGGTAGCCTTCTAAAAGACATATTTTTTTTCTTCTTACTACATAAAACACACATACATTCATATTATCCTAAAGTCACTTGGAAAATACAGTGATTACTTACAAGCAGTGAAAAATACCAATAAGATGCAAAGAAATGAGCATTTTACAGACACAGATCTTTGGATAGGCTTTAATGTGAATTGTTTATTTAAAACAGGGATCCATCAGTGGTGGTGAACTACCAGGGTGAATGTTCTAGAGCATGGCACAGATGAAAGCTAATACTCACCAGCACCTCACATAGGACAAAAGACAATGTCAGCAATGCACTGTGGAAGGAAAACAAATAAAATGCAAAAGGCACCTGGCTGGGGGAGAAGCTGCAGTGTGCACTGCCTCTCACGCAGGTTTACTTGGGTGCATCACAGGTAAGTCTGGACAGATGGCATTTGGAATGGAAAAAGGTTCTCTTCTGAAGCCCAGGATCCTATGCAAGTAGTTAACCTTTCCTCAGACTGGCTTACACCCACCGCATGGTTTCAGGTCCTACAAAGGGGATGAGGGTGCTGAAAAGGAACACAAAAGCTCTCCCTTTTTCTGCTCTGGGAGGTGGGGGGGCTCCCAATTCAACTTCAGCAGTGGCTTCTGAAGGCTTTTAAGCATTCTAACTTTAAAACAAGTAACAACAAAACAGAAGACAAAAAGTAGCCTGAAAACCAATCCGTCAAATGGAAAGGCAGATTCATAAAAAAAAAATCTAGTCACCAGTGTTTAACATATGGCTAATGCTCTGCCTGAACGAAGATATTTAAACTGTATCCACAATACACGCAAGCACAAAGCTGACCTTGGCAACTGTGAGAAAATAACCCCTTTCCTTCAAACACACTGTAGTGCTATCAGGGACCACTGGCCAGGTGCAGAAGGTAGAAGGGGCCCCAGGCTGGGGAAGGACCCCAGGTGGTGAGCAGCCTGATGTGGCCGGTCTGTCGGAAACAAGACTTACACTCGCAAAGAATGACCCCCAAAGCCCCCTGTCCGCCTCTCGGTGGCGCTGTACGCTTGACTTCCTCACAGGGAGGCCCAAGCCATTCCGTTTCTCTTGCGGTTCTAGGCACTCTTCGGAACATCTTTGATTCACCAGGGTCTTTTATTTCTTTCCAACTCCATTAGTGACTTTTGACTTGGAATGCCGATTCCGTCTTCTGGAAGAGTGGCTTTCGTTGTTGCCTGGATGCTTGGGCGGGCTGTCTTCAGAACCTGGGCACAGGAATCAGAACACAAGTCGCCTTGGCTGCAGCCCACTCACCCCTGATTGGTAGCTCTTCCTTGCCGGGGCCCTAGGCTTGCCAGCCAAGGGCAGGTCCTCCCAGGGAACCAGCACTCCATCTAGTGGCCTCACTAACAAGTGACAGCGAGGCACAGGAGCCCCAGCACTGAGCTGGTTGCAGCTGGTGTGTCAGTATTCGAGGTAGTGGCCCCACAAAGGTTGGGGGGGGTCCTGAGACATTTTACATTCACACTATGCACAGTGAATCGCGGTCATGGTGATGGGATCAGAAGAGTACAAATGAAATCAAAGTACAAAGGAAGAACAATTAAAACTTAAACCACATGGGTGTCAAGTCTAATACGGATGCAACCAAAGGGCACACTGCTTTGGTTTCCACACCTTGGCCCACTACACATCAGTGTTTCAGTCCCTGCATTGGAGAGGATCATTGGCTTTATAAAATTAAAGATATTACATGCCCACTATCATTTGATCTGGAGGCCATTAGGCCCCTGGGGCCCATGACAGAGCCCTGGAGCCTCACCTTAAAGATGCCACATGCCCTCAGGATACTCAGTCTATAGTGATGAAGTTATTTGTCACACTGTACGATTTGTTTGGTCACTCAAAGAAAGACTTCTATCAGCTAAGGGCTAAGCTGTTGGCAGGTATCATCCAGGTGGAGGGGGGTGCCAGGGGAGTCAGGGATGGGGTGGGCACACCAGGTAGGGCAGTATATGGTTTGGGAGGTCAGGGAACTTCCTGGCATTGTGCTGGCTCCATCCTCCAACTGAGTACGTGGCCAGCCCCTGCCCCAAGGTTCTGTGCACCATGGCTCAGATCCAGCCCCAGAGGAAATCTCCACCCAAGACAGCCATTAAAAAAAAAATTCCCAAAGGTTTGGTCTCCATCGTTGTAGCATTTGGCTTAAAACAAGAGATTCTTTTACCACTTTGAAGATTTTTTTCTTTTTACTACTCTATTACATTTCACATAAATAGGACTCTACCCCTGCTTACTTCTTTTAGTCTTTTCATTGGAAAAGTACCTGGAAGTACCAAGGACTGATCTGTTAAGGGGACAGCCTCTGGGGACCCCCTCTGCCCACTTCTCTTAGTTTTCCCAAACAGGCTGCAGGTCGACTCCTTCACTTGGGAGAAAACATCTCAAAAAAAGTGTCCAGCATCTCAGGACAGAGTACGCCAGCATTTTCCCCAGAAAGAGCTCTAAAAACCTTGGCTCCACAATGATGCAGGAAAGCAACTGCGACACTAGTGGCTTCCTTTCCCTCGGCCCACTGCTGCTCTGAGCAATGCTGGGAGCCAGCACTCACACTCTCTGGCTTTCATGATTTTCCTCCCTTTCCATCAACTCATAAATATTGACAAGGAATTACTTTCCAGTAAAGCCTCCTCACAGTCATTATTCCACAGTCTAATTCTTTAAACAGGTGGCCCCAAATCTTTCCAAAATGCTCCTTGGAGACAGACTGACAGGAGATCCCTGACTGCACTACAGGCATACCTTGTTTCATTGCACTTTGAAGCTATTATGTTTTTTACAAATTGAAGGTTTGCAGCAACCCTGAGTCAAGTAAGTCTATTGGTGCCATTTTTCCACTCATTTCATGGCTCCATGTCACATTTTGGTAGTTCTCTCAACATTTTAGACTTTTTCATTTTTATTATGCATGGTGATGGTGATCTGTGATCAGCGATTAGGACTTACTGAAAGCTCAGATGATGGTTAGCATTTTTTAGCAATAAAGTATTTTTTAATTAAGGTATGTACATTGTCTTTTAGATATAATGCTATTGCTATTGCACACTTAACAGAACACAGCATAGTGCAAAAACACTTTTACATGCACTGGGAAACCAAAAACTTCACCTGACTCACTTTACTGCAATACTCACTTTATTGTGGTGGTCTGGCCCAAACCTGCCATGTCTGTTTCATACAGGTCTGCCAGTATGAAAATCCCTCTTATACTGCTCTGCCTCTTGCCTAAATAGGATTAAATTGATCCACTTTTTTGAAAGGCTTCTCCTCCTGGCACACAATTCTTCCTAACCCTTTTCATTCATGATGAAAGCCAAGAGAAACATTCCCATCGGGATGCTTAAGATGGGGCAGGCTTTGTTCCATTTTCCTGTCTCAGGGAAGGCAGAACCACATTACACATCTTCTTATGAAGTAAGTTTCTTAGGCAGATCGTGTAAGTGCTTTTTGCATGTTTCGTTAATAAGTAACAGGCAACATGCAATGAGTAGGTTTAAGACCCTTCAGAGCATATTATACATTTATCAATATTTAGAGGATAAATACTGATTCTAAGTTTCCTTACCACATCTTGGGAGGGAGAGGACCCAGTAAAGTTTTAAACAATGAGGAAGAAAGAGATACCTTTTGTGCCTTTCCCGGGAGGCCAGGAGACTTCTGGACTATACGTGCCATCTTCACATTCTGAGTAGGTCTAGGGAGAGAGGCAGGCTTAGTGACAGAATTTCAAGTACCCTCCGAGGAGGGGTGGCACAGCAAATGAAGATGGTCTGTCCCTGCCTCTCCCAGGCTGCAAATTATCGCTAGTGACAGAATCTCCTAATACTGATGTTTCTCAGCTATAAAACCAAGACTACCTCTCAGGTGATGCAGAATAAATCTAGAAAGTTCCTTTCATTGCTTACACTAAGTAAGTATGAATAAAGGATGAAAGCTGTTATTTTTACTTAAAAAACATTACAGTTGACCAGACTGCTATAGTGATTTTAGTTAGTTCACATCTATTCTCTGCCTTAATCCTCATATCTACTATGAGGTGGACGGGGCAGGTGTTTCTACAATGAGGCTCCCCAGGCTGGGTCACAAAGAGAGGCCTGTACACAGTGGATGGCCAGGAATCAAAACTTGCCTTCCAAAAACTGGGCCAGGGCTCTCTCTCCCTGCAATTTTTTTTTTTTAAACAAACAGGTAAGTAAATTTTAAATTCCTTACAAACGGAGGGGAAAAATACTGAACCACTGAACAGGGCAGTCACAAGCATGGACAACAAATGCCAGGGCATGGATTCTAACCAGTCAGGTTCCCATAGTGGCAATACTGAAGCTGTGCTCTCAAGCCAGCTACACCATGTTCTCGTGAATGTGCTCTAGCCTAAAGCCCCAGCAGGATGTGACTAGTTTAAAGGAAGACCATCTCTGCTTTCTCTTCTATACCTTTTCTCGGTGACCATAGTGCTCTGCATACCAAACCATGCCGTACAGACACAGGAAGGTGGTGAAAGCCTAGAAGACAAAAATAAAAATAAGCACAATTCAAAAATGGTGTTGCACAAAAATTCCATTTCCCAGAACTTTGGGTTTCAATGGGAATTCATACAAGATGGCTCAATGCCATCTGTCTTAGGGTTCTGGTGCGAAAATGACTGAACACAGCAGAGATGAACCCCTAGGTGATGAGTTGGGGGACAGCATCCCCCAAAGTTTTTGACAACAAAAGTTATGATGAGACTTCAGTTACAATGTGTGACCGAAGATCACATTTCCATGTGGGATAAGGCGGGATGCAATTCTTGCACAGCTGTGCAGGTTAGCTTGCAAGGACACACAGCACTGTCCATGGGTTTTGGGATTTCATGGCTTGTTCTCTCCGTCTGTCACTGGAGCACGTCATAAGGACTCAGTTTGTCAGCTTCCATGGGGAAGAGGATTTCCGAAGGAAAGAAGTGTCATTCAGTCTGGGGCCATAGTGGTGCTAGAGGGCACTGAGGACAAACACCCACTGGGTCAGTGGCATGTACAGCACGACATGGCTGCCCTTGGCTCTGCACTGTTTACTCTCAGTGGCCTCATGCTTACCCCAGTTTTGGTTGCTTTTGTTTTTCTTGTGTAAGCAGACAGGAAAATAAAGAGAAAATAAAATGCTTTGTTTCCCCTGAGTGGAAGGAGAAGGTGTGGTGTGTAGGTCTTCAGAAGCCAGTAACCTCCCACTCCCCCGCCAGCAGTCTCCACCCACTCTGTGCCACACCAAATCTATACTTGAACTTAGGAAAGAAGGGCATCTACATTACAAAACATTACAGTTGACCTTACTGCTATAGTAATTTAAGCCAGTTCACATCTATTCTCTGCCTTAATCCTCATATCTAATATGAGGATTATAAGCATCTACAAGAATATGAAGTTTAAAAATGAGCCCAGAACTCAAAGTTGGGGAAAAGTTTCCAGTTGTCTTGAGTGAGCGAGTGTCAGGTGAATCTTAGCCAGGCCTTACCTTTCTAATTCTAAGTAAACCACCAAAATGAGATGATTGTCTGCTTCATACACATTTCTTAAGAATTCCTTGCTTCAGAAACCCATGAAACAAGGCCATCCTTTCTATCTAACCATCTCTTCTACTGCCTTTCCTGTTGGGCACTCATCACCTCGAACCAGCTGTAGGAATAGTTATGAAATCATGACAGAACCTTCTTTTCTGAATAATTTTAATTCTAAGAATCGTAACTTTCAATCTAAATGGGCTCCCTCAGAGATCATTAATTTCAACTCTTCTTTCACAGAAGAGGAAGGAATGCTTGGAGGGGTGAATGGCCTTTTCAAAGACACATGGCTAGCGTGTGGCAAAACACGTCTCTTGATATTCCTGGATCCATATTTTCCTTCCCTTTCATTAAACAGTATCTGTACAATTGCTATTTTAAGTGCAGGCCTTGGCATTTTAAGTGGGTACCTGCCTAGATTTTCAAAGGTGTGATTGCAAACCCACAAATTACAAGCTTTTGTCTCCTGTGACAATTGTAAAATGGCTCTTGTACCTAAGTGAAGTGGTAAATTTGGCAACCACAGCAGGCCTCTTGTGTGGCGACTGTGAAAATAAGCACCTGTTGCTCACCACCTGCTGGTGTTTGCTGCGCTGCAAAGCCAGCTCTGCCCAGCTGTCCACAGCAGAAGCCAGGCCTCAGCCACCCTCGCCTGCCCTCTGCTGGGCAGAATCGTACTGACAGCCGGCTGCTCTCAAGGCTCCCTTGGTCTAGTGGAGTAACCCTTGTGGGGTCAGCTTCCCCACCTGCACTGCACAGCCACTTTCTGGTCTGGGGAGGCCAAACCCTCTCCCCCAACACCCCACCTGGGAAACTGGGGTGGCCAGATTTGCTCCATATAAAGGAGCTAATACATATATAGGCTTAAACACTGCTAATCCTTTAGTCTTTCCCATTCTTTCAAGCCATGAAAACGGCACAAACTAGAAACCCTGCAGCTGCCCTCTAGCCCCTTCCAAGCTATCACACAGGAGTGGTGTGGCGTCCTGTAGTTGACCTCTTGAGTAGCTCTCAATCCAGCCCTTTCTCAGCACCTTCACTGCTGCTCCTCACCTAAGACCCGGCCACACCCTCACACTTCATCCCTCCTCCAATCCCCCTTCCTCCAGAGTCTCCCGCCTTCCAGGGCTTCTCTGTGAACACTGCCATCCACTGAAAAACCCTCCTTGGGTTTCCAATGAAAGACACAAGACCTTCCTCAGCAAACATCCCCATCCCCCTCTCCTCCTCTGACTTGCTCTCCTTATTCTTGCTCCCCAGACAGGTGCCATCTTCCTGTGCAGGGAGACTCAGGGTGCTGGCACAATGGCACAGCTTCCTGTCTGTGCATGCTGGCCTCTGCCTGCCTGTGCGTTTCCAACTCACACCTTTATTCTCCATGCATTTGCCGAGCATCTCCTATGCGTTAGGTGCTGTGCTAGTCAGTGGGGGCAAAAGGATGATGAAAACTTATTCTTTGTGAGCAAGAAGTGCAATATTGAGGAGACAGATGTAAACACCACAGATTATATTACACTGGGGTTAGAACTCAAAGAAATACGTACACGGTGCAACTCGTCCCCATGGAGGGAGTTATCTAGTGTGCCTTGCAGGCTCGGGTATATTTATTTACAGAGGGCATAAACTTAAGATCCATGAAACATAAGATTCACTAGGCAGACAAAGCAGGAAAATACAGTCAGATGAGGAGCATCACAGGTAAAGGCAAGAGAAGCCTGAGACGATCATTCACTGAGGAAGCTATGAATTTGGGGTAGCCCGAGACCGCAAGTGGGTGGGCAATAACCATCCAGACAACACGCAAGCTAATTTCTATTTCAGCTGGTGGGTCTGTGTAGGAATCCTTCGTCCCTGAGGCTTCTTCTACAGGAGGGAGCTTTCTGGGAATAATACTCCTGCTTCGTGCGCTCCTGCCCTGGGGAGGAGCTGTCTCTTCACTGGCTGGTGAACCTGAGGTAAGGACGCTGGCATTTCCTGTCTTTCTCTCTGAGCACTAGGCCCCCAGTACGATGTGGGAAGGCCTGCTTCCTGAAGCTGGAGATGTCTAATTCTGGGGTTCACTACTTGGAAGCCCTTTGTTGCCATGCACCTAAAGCTGATATTGAAAGATATGGATTCTGAGTAATAAAGATGCTATTCTGATCTCCACACCTTTCTTCCACCCTGCCTATCCCTTAATTATTCTGAACTTGGAGGGTGGGTGAGAAATGTATGACTGGGCCTTCTCAAGCTCTCAACGAGAGGGACTGACTCTAACTAGGGTAAAGAGATTCAGATCTCAATTCTGGAAGATCGCATCTGCAGCAGTGTAGATAATGGATCTAAAGAGCAGAATGGAGAAAATGGGTGTGGTGTGTTGACAGCTGCAGAGGCAATGGGAATGAAGAGGAGGAGATGGAGCTGGGCTACGTGGCTGAACGACTAGAACCTGGTGACCCACTGATTTGAAGAGCGAGAGGGAAGGCAGCAGCCTCCTCGGTTTTCAGCTGAGGTACCCGAGGGACGGGAGGTCATTCACTATGATCCTTCAAAATCCTGCTCACACACACCTCCAGGAAGCCTTCACCGACACCCCAGCTCATCTGCTGGCTTTCTCTGGCATTCCTTTAGCTATACATACACATCTGTCATAAATGGTTTGCATGTATAATTCCCGTCTGGACTGGGACATCCTTGGGGCAGGAGCCAGAACTCTCAAGCTAGCCTCTCTGGGTTTGAGCCCTGACTCTGCCACTTACTATCTGTGTGACCTTTGGAAAGTTAGTGAACCTCCCTATTTCTTTATTTCTTCATCTATGAAAGAGGGCTAAATAAAGTACTTCCCCTCAAAGTGCAAAGATCAAACATGCAATTCATGAGGACTGCTCAGGGCCGTGTCTGGTAGAGAGCAAGCATTAGTAAATCTTATCCTTACCACCGTATCTCGGAATGGGTCCAGCATCAGGTGCAGCTTTGATGAGCTCTCAGCTTTGATATTTTGTGAGAAAGTGACAGACTTACAAGGGACCATGCTAAGTGAAGAAGAGATCAATGGAAGGACAAGAAGTGGTTCATGTCCTCAGAAAGTGACAATCACATAGACACAAAGGTAAACCAAAACATAAGGAGGTGTATGCTAAGTGTCAAATCAGTAAAACAGAGAGACGGTCTCTAAAACGTAAAGAGAGACTGGTGCATTCTCTGGTGACCAGACAGCTTCTTGGACGTGACTTTGAGAAGACCTTTCTGGTCACTGATTCCCCAGGGGGAAATAGGCTGCTGTGAGAAGGACCTCTGCCTGTGTCCCAGAAGCCCCACCAGCCTCAACCTCTCCATGGTCCCAGGGCTCTCTGGCACCAGTGAGGTCAGCACTACCTCTGCCCACCACTGCAGGTCATGCTACAATTCCCATACCCAAAGTGCACATGCCCCAGAGAAATCTGAGAAGTGGTTAAATCTCCAGGCACGTCTGACACACTCCCCTAACTAATCCTTATCTCTAGTCTCACTGGGACGGAAAAAAAACATTTGAGCATTAATTCTGGAGGTTAAGTATAAAGGAGATCATTATTCCCTTTTACTGTTCAAGATAAAACAGGACTGAACAGGTTCAGGGTGACCTGGCACAATTGGGATTTCTAACAAGTAACCCTAAAAATAGATACTATGAAAGGCAATAAGAAACATTTTAATAATACAAAGTTTAGTCTTGCTGAAAGAAAAAAAAATTAAGACCTGAATCTGATTAAGCCTCTAGATATAGCTAGCAATTTACAGAAAATACAAAGGACAAAGAAATTTGTTAAATTACAGTACAGGATAAAGTCAGTAACATCCAGACCGTGGGAAAATAAAGGACAAAAGAGTTGGTTTCTTTAACAGATAAATTGTGAAGGAGAGAGAGCTAGGGGCAGGGAAGGTTATAGATTGAAAGAGACTTCACAGGCATGCCAACCAATTGTAATGAGAGGATGTTGATGCAAATAAAATGTTAAGAAAGACAAAATTTAACAACATATTAGAAATGTGAACACTAATTAGATATTTGGTAGTATTAGGAATTGTTAATTCTTCTCTATATATGATAATGGTGTATCATTTGCATTAAACAAAAGAGTATTCTTATCTTCTTTTAGAGACAAATTGTGAAATATTAAAGGTGGATCTGCTTCAGAATAATTCACGCTGTGGATAGTGAGCAGGGAAAGAGGAAACAAGATTGAACATGAGTTGACAATTGTTGAAACTGGAACATATGTACATGAGAGGTCATCTACTCTACCTACTTCCACATATTCTGGACCAAGCAAGTACAAGTAAAGAATCTTAAGCTTAAATGTAAAATAATAATCATTCTTCAAAATAATAAAACAATTGAATTAAGAAGGGCAGGCATGTAATGTTTAGATGAGGTAAAATCTTACTTCATTTTAAAGATGAAGGAAAAATCCCAGGACAACCGAACTGGAGGCCTCCAGGGCTGTTCCCTTTAGAAAGGAAGCTCTTCTACACAGGCTTGGCCTATAGTCAGCCCAAGGAACAGAAACTGCATGGTCTGATACCTTCAAAAACATCTCACATGGCCTATAAACAATAGTCCATCATCTTGTACATAAACCCTTGTACAGTAAGACATATGCTACAGGGCACTGTAATTGTCCTTGTCCCTTTACGGCAGGCCTGAAATACTCAGCGTGTGTAGATGAATTCCCATAAGCAAAATAAGTGCACGTAGGGTGCACCTGTTGATCGCATTTGACCAGAACCTGGCAAGGTGACCCATTTTGGATACCATCTGGTCCTAATGTTTATGCTTGGACTTCGGACTGGTGGTCAACCTCAGGTTATTACGAGTAAATGTCCAGTCCATGAATTTCTAAGGAAGCTTGGTGCAAAAGATAGTTCTTTTTAAAAAGACACCATGGGGAGTTTGGCTACTACTTCTTAATCAAAAAATAAGACTTACCACACAAAGAAGCCAAAGCACAACATAGAGAATCTGGGTCTTAGAGAAGAGATCTTGTCCAAATTTTATGCAAACAATAGCTTCCAGGAAACCAATGACCCTAGTTAGACAGAATAAGAGGTTAATAATAATTCCTCTTATCAGAGCATATACATTACCAGAAATATACATCAATCTATCCAAAAGCTTAAATGGTCAAAAGAGCTCTGAACCCAAGACTGGTAGTAGCAGGTACCCCCCAAATGACATTATTCAAGTCCACTGCACTTCAGAAATTATATGTATATATAGTTAGATTCAATAAAAAGTTTATTTTACTGTTACTCCTCTTTCTTTTTTTAAGACTTTATTGGTTTAGGTTATTGCAAAATTGAGAAGGTTCAGAGTTTTCCCCATATACACTGCTTCCCCCTTTACCAACATCGCCCATCAGAGGGGCACATTTGCTATAACTGATGAACTTACACAAACACATCATACCATCCAAGGTCCACAGTTTACCTTAGGGCTCACTCTTAGTGTTGTACATTCTGTGGGTCTGGATGAATGTATAACATGTATCCACCATGAGAGTATCATCCACAGTAGTTGCACTCTCCTAAAAACCCTCTGTGCTCTGCCTATTCATGCCTTTACCTCTCCCCAAAAATGATAAAATATTTAACTTCTTTCCTACGAGACCAAAATCTCAATTCATACATTTTAACAGCTGAAGGTACCTGGCATCATCTAACTCAGAAACTCAGAGCCTATTACCATCAGGTGGACAGTCACCACCTCTGTCAGGTTGGAAGCCTCTTGTGGACAAGGAACCTATCACCTTGGTAGGTGGCTTATTTTGCTGCTCAAACTCTTCAGCGGTTGGCAAGTCTTTTCTCACCTTAGGCCGGTATCTGGCTCCTTCTACCCATAGGTCTTAACTCTATCCTCCACAGTTGTATAAGGAGAGTTTGAGCCTTCCCAAAGCTAGAAGTGATCTATCACATTTCCTCTCAGCCTTCTAAGAATTTCCAGATTCAATATCCCATTTTTGCTAACAATATAAACCCTTTGTTCTTTCTGATCTATAAGCAATTTTGGTAGATACAGAAATGTTTTTTAAAAAAGCTTCATATTTTACTCTTTAATTAAAACATCAAAGAAACAAGCTACTCTTGTAGTCTACATCTTAACTTATGAATATAAAAATGAGAACCATACTGAGGTCCAGAGATTAAGGTGAGGGTGACATGGCTGGCTGGTCATGTGATCCCAAAGACCTAAGAATACTGATTTCAGACAACTCCTCTTGAGGTGCTACTTGCTTGAGATGGATTTCGGACACTATAGTTGCACAGATACTCTCTAAAAAGGCAAGAAGGGGGCTCAGAAAGTACTGAGTCCTTCTACCCACCAGCAAAAACAAAGGTTCATTGCCATTACCAAAGAAAGGCATGGATGGCTTTGACAGCTGGATGTCTGAAATCAGAACTGACTCAGCAAGCAGAAAATCTCCTTAATACATCTTTAGAGAGTTGGGGCTGTCTTCCCCGGGCCCTAACCAAACAAGGGTTAGAGTGCTTGGCCTGAATCTTTGAAGACCAGCTCCACTCTACCCCACATCCAAATATAACACGTGTGAGAAAGCCTCATTTTAGCTGAGTTACACAAGAGGTTTTTAAATGTACTATACTGTGGAATTTCATTGTAATCCTGGTCTAGACAGTGAGCTGACACGAGGTGGCAGCTAAACTTTGATTGCTCCCAGGCTGCACAGTATGGGGAAGGTGCCTACTGAGTGGACATAAAAAGGGTATTTAACCTTTGGCTGGGATTTCTTGACGAACTATAATGGAAAGTGCTAATAAGCCAGAAAATAAGTCTGCCCTTCAACCAGACAGAACACCTGGGGTTTCCAGGGAGAAATTTCTGGATATTTAACTTGATTGAGTCACCTTTCAAAAGCACAGTGACCACAGAATGGAGTTGTTTCTCAAACTTTTGTGATCTGAGACCCACAGCAAGAAACATACTTCTCATCATGACCCAGTAGATACACAGGCAAACACCTGAAACCAGTGTTTCCCAAAACAATTTGCTCCCTTACTCTGAAATTTTTTGTTCTTTTTCATTTTAAGAAAATGGTCAGGATTTACTCAACTGACTTCATAATGACCTGAAGTTTGTTCTAAGGATCAGAGCTTTTTGGTCAGCAACTTGAGGATATGATTTGCTCCTACGTGCTAAGGAATCTTAGCTAAGCCATTGTCCATGCATGGGACCTTCTCAATGAGAAGTGACCTTTAGCAGAGTTTGGGGGTTGGGGTGGGGAAGGAGGGAAAACGGCAGAGTCAAGTCAATTCAGAGTAACATGGGTCTTGAGGGCCACTCCAGGGCTTCAGTTTTAGTCTGAGGGAGATAGGAGCCCCAGAAGGGTTTGGAGCAAAGGGTTTCACATGATTCAGTTTACATTTTAACATGGTCATTCTGGCAGCTGAACCAAGAACTGATAGAAGGAGGCAAGAGCAGAAGCAGGGAGGCTTCTAATCCAGGGAGAGGACCAGGGGAGATGTGAGAAGGGGTAGAAATTCACATGGACCCTTGAATCACTAGCCCTTGCCTCCCAACATTATCCCTCGGTCCCTGGAGGCAGTCCTAATAAAAAAGATTAACATTATATTTGTACAAGGCTCAGTGGCAGCCAGTTGAGGGCTGAGGCCAAACACCTCAGCACAATGGGTGCCTGCATCAAGCCGTCACCTAAGACAGCACAACTCCCAACCAGAGTTGGGGGGCCAGGTGAGTCTCCCTTTGCAACAGCCCCTGAAATAGGGCAAATTTACAGGCCTCTGATCTCTACCAGACTGAGCGCCAGGGGGCTAAATTGGTTTGAGGGGATTCAGTAAGGGCTGCTACTCCCCAATGGCACCCACATCCCCATCTGCAATCAGCCAGGCTAGAAGGCAAGCACACAGTGGGGCTGCCAGAGGGCTTCTGCCAGGGGGCAAGCTGGTCTGCTGACTCAGGCACTCAGCTCCTGGCTCTTCAGAGACAGGGTTGAAATGAAGATGGCGTTTGATGTAGAGCTGCAGTTACAGAGTTCCTCAGTGAATGGAGCAAGAATGCTAGCAGGGTTACTGTGGGGAAAATTGAAGTTCCTATGGCCAGAATCCTCACCTGAACCTAAACTACCTGATGATGTAACTGGCCTGCTGCTAGGCTACTGCTCCACACCCATTGGCAATGAGCTATTATTGACTGAGTCACTATATAAAGAGCTCTTCCCAGTGAAAACGGCAGAGTCAAGTCAATTCAGAGTAACATGGGTCTTGAGGGCCACTCCAGGGCTTCAGTTTTAGTCTGAGGGAGATAGGAGCCCCAGAAGGGTTTGGAGCAAAGGGTTTCACATGATTCAGTTTACATTTTAACATGGTCATTCTGGCAGCTGAACCAAGAACTGATAGAAGGAGGCAAGAGCAGAAGCAGGGAGGCTTCTAATCCAGGGAGAGGACCAGGGGAGATGTGAGAAGGGGTAGAAATTCACATGGACCCTTGAATCACTAGCCCTTGCCTCCCAACATTATCCCTCGGTCCCTGGAGGCAGTCCTAATAAAAAAGATTAACATTATATTTGTACAAGGCTCAGTGGCAGCCAGTTGAGGGCTGAGGCCAAACACCTCAGCACAATGGGTGCCTGCATCAAGCTGTCACCTAAGACAGCACAACTCCCAACCAGAGTTGGGGGGCCAGGTGAGTCTCCCTTTGCAACAGCCCCTGAAATAGGGCAAATTTACAGGCCTCTGATCTCTACCAGACTGAGCGCCAGGGGGCTAAATTGGTTTGAGGGGATTCAGTAAGGGCTGCTACTCCCCAATGGCACCCACATCCCCATCTGCAATCAGCCAGGCTAGAAGGCAAGCACACAGTGGGGCTGCCAGAGGGCTTCTGCCAGGGGGCAAGCTGGTCTGCTGACTCAGGCACTCAGCTCCTGGCTCTTCAGAGACAGGGTTGAAATGAAGATGGCGTTTGATGTAGAGCTGCAGTTACAGAGTTCCTCAGTGAATGGAGCAAGAATGCTAGCAGGGTTACTGTGGGGAAAATTGAAGTTCCTATGGCCAGAATCCTCACCTGAACCTAAACTACCTGATGATGTAACTGGCCTGCTGCTAGGCTACTGCTCCACACCCATTGGCAATGAGCTATTATTGACTGAGTCACTATATAAAGAGCTCTTCCCAGTGCTCTGAGTGGAGGCAGAGACAGAGGAGGATTATAGACCTGCAGATTGTTGGATACAGATGTAATTCTAACGCTCAACCTATCGCTGGGAGAACAAGTTGGGTAATAAACCCTTTTACCCCAAGAACGTTCCATTGTCATTCCTTGGTCTCACTGAATCCACAGTGTACTTGCCCGGGGCTGAAACCCACTGGCAAGACAGTTACCCTAGAAACTGGAGCACAAAAAGTGCTAGGCTCAGTGTGTGGAAGCTGGGCAGACAAGCCAAATCCTGAGAAGCTAAGGAAGCTTTTAGTTTGCAAACAAAATTTGCTCTTGGATTCTGAGGATGCCACTGCCTGCCTGCAGAGCCCAAAGACCTCCCTGTAGCTGCATGACCATACTCTATGGGGTGGGTGAGCCACTCCTCAGCCATCTAGAAGCTGACCCTCCAGCAGTGGGAATGGGACACAACCACTGCACAATCACACAGGCAGCCAGAAACTGTTCCAGAAGTTCAGGAGTGAGCAAAGACACCTTGTGGAGGGAGTGACAGGGGAGCTAGGCATTACCTGACAGAAAAAACTTCAGCTGTGTTTCATGGGCCTTTCTGTGTCCTGAGGGGCAAGGTGGGGAGGGTGAAGAGTGGGATGAAGGGTCCTGCTCAACTGTTTTGCTGTATTTTAGGGTTTGGGGCAAAATGTCTTTTGGAATAGGATTCAGCTGCTAAAAAAATTTTTCCATCAACTGCCAGAGGTTGGCGCTGTTAATGAAGGAGCTTTTGAGCAAGAGAGCAGGGAGGGGCAGGGTAAGGGAAAGATGAACACAGTGAGGAAGGGAGGAAGCAAAGATCCTGCAAGAGGGAAGCTGACTTTACAGCCACCTAGCAGTGTGGGTGCTGACGTGAGGACCAGGAGGGAAGGCGAGGACAAAGGTCAGCAGGAAGACATAGTGACCGGTAGCCTGGAAAGGGTCAGTTATAATGAGGGTGGACTGGGGAGAAAGATAAAGAAGATATAAGCCACACCCCTGGGAAATTTGTTCACATAGGTCTGTCCCAATAACCCCACAGAACTGAAGTAACACAATGAGACTTTCTAACACTACTGCTTTCTCCCAGGTGGGGTTCCCATTCTCGAGCCTGACGAGTCCTATCTTGCTGCGTACAGCACATTTAAGTCTAAAAGGTTTAAAAGCTCGGATCTATGGTACAAATGTAGGAGACCACATTGTGAGTCCGTATTTAGTTACATCAGCGAATAATACAAACTTTTTGAGGGCATAACACTGACAGAAGAGAAAAGTGCTCTCTTCAGGAGAAAAGACATGCTGGTGGGCAGAAAGCCTCAGGTGGCCCCATCTGACCTTTCCCCCACCCTACTTCCAAGGGAAAATTCAACTGTCACTACATGGGCATTCTTACTCTGTTCCCTCACATCTTCCCACTTTGCTACAGCCAGACATTACTCCAAAATTAGTGAAATGAAAGCTGTAAAGCAACTATTAGATTTTGAAGGAAATCAGACTTTTAAATGTTTGCTGTTTTGACAGGAGATGGAAAGAAAACAAAGTAAGAGCAACAGGGAGGTGGGGAGCTGGTGGCCTTGGAGGGGCAAACATTCAGAGAGGAGACTGGAGGCTTTGCCTCCCACTTCACCTTCACTGACTGGGTTCACACACCGGGGGCGGGCGGGACACACTGGGTGTGATTTATGAAAAGGGATTTGTTATTTTTCAGCATGGCCCACTAATTCTCAAGCTTCGTTAATTTTGATATCACCATTCCGGGATTTCTCAATTCTTAATAAAGTATACTAAATTAGCCAAATGACCTCCCCTTTGCATTTTATGTTAATCACTTTTCAACAAGGTGCAACTGTCTGTAGCTACATTTCCTATCACTCTATGGCCAAGTTTATCTTTGTTATTTCTCCTGCTGCAGGGATTATGTTTTTTGGCCACCTGATTAGAAACTTTGCTGTAATACTATCTCTCTATCTGATGTGCATCTCTTCTTCCTAAACAGGTAAAGAGATCCAGCTGAGCAGAAAATATGTCCACTTGCAACAGAGTAAGACCTTGCCAAGGACTTTTAAATGTGAAGATAAAAATGCATGTGGAAAGTGGTAGAGGAGAAGAGCTTAAATGCTTCTTGTTCAAGAAAATTAAAAAATAAAATGCTTTTTGCCCTCCTTAGACAAGACAGTAAGAAGTAAAAGACTACCTCCCCCTCTTTTATGACTCAACAATTGTGCTCTCACATGTCCTTTGCTCAGTATATCAGAAATCTGGTAGATGTATAAATTCTCTCTTGTTAGATGGCTCAACAATGGAAATCTAATCCATCTTATCATCCTTTAAGCCACTTTGGGAGGGAAAATCAGCTTACATCAGAGAATGTACTGGTAATACTGACAATGGCCCTTTGTGTTCCAGGTGGGGAGAAACTTGCCTAAATCTAAATGAGTACCCCCTCAGAATCAGGAATGAAAGCTGGACACACACACACACAGAAAATGGAAGGAATGACATCAAAATGTTAAGGGCAATTATCTCTGCATAGCTGACTTCTTTGGATGTTCTTAGTTTCTTTTTTTCTGAATTTTTTATCAATATGTACATATTACTTTTTAATTGGAAAAAAGTTACTCTGTTTAAAAACCTGTTGAAAGTATTAATTTCCTCCCTATGAAGGGTTTATATCAAATTGTCTTTACACTACCACACGCAATTTAGAAGCTAGACTAGGTCCTGAATTGAAGCCTCCTCAGGGACTGAACATCACATACAAATTTCCTCAAGGTCTCTGAAACTTCTGTTGCTACAGGGGATGGTAAATTGACAATGTTGTTTAAGCAGAAGAACCACTTACTTGAGATACTGAACATGGTCTCACATTTGACATTGGGGGGCTTAAACTAGAGAACCTATGATCTCTTTCAAATCATTTAAGCAACAGAAAATTAAGATACAGCATGTATATCTGTAACAAGACAATAAATGTGACAATGGGCTACGTGTTGGTTCTCTCTGGAATCAATAAGCTTACAAAAAAGAGTTATGTAGAAATCCACAGAGTTTGGCAAAAATTTTCAGGATCTCTCAAAAAGTCAAAACACTGGATTTTTAGTTTCCGGTTTTTGAAGTGTTTAACACTATTGAAATTTCATTATAAACTGGATATGATTTGTATTGTTTTATAAGAGATTTCTTTCCTTGTTTATTGACCTTCTTGGTTACTGCTAATTTTATGAAGAAACTGCTGCAAATCTTTCTTGAAAGTAACTGTGAGCCTCAAATTAAATTAAATTTTAGATGGGAGAGAGAGGTTCCAAACAACCAAGGGAAACAGCATTTATGAGATGACTACTTCAAAAGACCATTGGTCTATCAAGTGTTACTTTCCTGTTGGTTCATAAGAAAAACAAGAGATGGAATTTGAGTTCTTAACAAACAAGCAGCCTTTCTGAGGAGTTTTTCTGATGTGAAAATAACAAGAAGCATGGATAAGCCTATCACGAGATGATGTTCCAAATTATCATCAAATTCAGAGAGAAATAGGACAATCCATTTTGTTTAATTAATTTCATAAAGCTAGGTCTTCAAGTTCTACACAGGAAGTATCTTGATTTCCTAATTTGTTTAAAAAAGAAGTTTGCATACCCTCTTTCTATAATTTGCTGATTAACTATTCTAAATTTAAACCAGAAAACAGAGAGTTAAAAATTCAAAGACCTAAAAACAATAGCAAGCTTTCATAGGAGGCATTACTGAAAGGCACTTAATACAGGGTCAAGAAATAACCAAAGAAATTTAGAGGCTTAAGTGGTTTTTAAACCTCTGCAATAATAGATTACTCACCCAAACACCCAGCACTGTGTTCCCACGCGTTTGCACTGTGTGTCGGTGAGGTAGGCATAGTACTGTCTGAAAGGACAAAGGTGGAATTCATTGAGACCACCTGGGAAACTGACGAGTCAATACAGAGATCACTTTGACAGAGTAAAAAAAAAATATCCTGCCTCGTCCAACATACTTAAGCTGCCTGGTCTAGTTCTACTCAAGAGAACAGAAAGCCAGTGCCTGATGAAACATTCCTGTAAAGGGTTAAAAGTTTGGGGTGGGCTGGAGGGCAGAGAGCATGGTTTGAAGAGCCAGATTACTCACAAAGGTGGTTTTGATTCAAGGACAGACTCCCAAAGCCTTGAGCCAAAGTAACCCTCGGTATGGAAGTGATTCCAAAGGGTCACCTACACTGTTATGAACTGTCTGCTCTCTAGGACAAAGGCTGCTCGTTGTAACCACGCAAGAGGTACATCCATTTTTGGCTCTCAGAAACTGCAATGGGACCCCGGCTACTCCTCACTGTCACTGAATGCCTATGGCTTTGAATGTTGCTGCCAAGATCAGAAAACAAAGGCCATGCATGACCTGGAGTTGAAAGGCTTAGAGCAGCACTGTCCAAAGGAAAGAAAATACAAGCCACAAATGCAATTTAAATTTTTCTAGAAGCCACATTAAAAAGTAAAAAGGAACAGATAACATTCATTTTCATAACATGTTATTTAACCCAATATATTGAACAAAATTATAATGAAGTATTTTAAATCGTTTTTGTACTAACTCTATGAAATACAGTGTGTGTTTTACATGTATAGCACATTTCAATGTGGACTAGCCACATTTCCAGTGCTCAAAAGCCATGGATGGTGAGTGGCTGCTGTATTCGGACAGCACAGGCTTAGATGCTCACAACTGTCTCCAAAATTCAATCCATCCTTTCAGAAGTAGCATCTGAACCAGGAGCTTATCAACTTTGGAATTCAGACTCCTTTTAGGATTTGATGAAAGCTATGATAAAGGCATATTAACATGCACACAAAATTCTGCACTGAACTTCAGAGGACTCAAACTGCCTAAAGGTCATCCACCAACTATGACTAAAACCCAAATGAATTCTAGTTACAGAGAATTTAGTTTTACCTTTAACTTCATGTTTTCATGACCTAATTTGCTACTCTATCCTCTATGTGTATCTATCCCCTCATACTCTACTCTATATTATCAGATTAAAAATACCTTCTTTTAATATCTTGATATTAAATATCTCAAATATCTTCTCAAAGCAGCAGTCAAATCAAAAAGGAAGAAAATGGAGAGATAGTGTGTATGACTTATCCTGAAGCTTAAAACCTTTCTCTCCTTTTAGGGCCTGGCATTTGTAAACTGGGAAGGCTTAGTTAAAACCCATTACAGCTCTTCCTTTTATCCAAGTAGCTTGTCAAAGCATCTCCTTACACAGGAACTATCTTGAGTGGTGTGAAAACACAGAAAGTGACTGACTTTTAAACAAAAAGAGATGCTATGTTTGGTAAAATTTTTCATTTCTCTCAAAAAGTCAAAACATTGCATTTTTAGTCTTCAGTTTTTGTTTTGAAGTATTTAACAATACTGAAATTTCATGATAAACCAGATGTGATTTGATATTCTGTTTCATGAAGATTTATTTTCCTGTTTATTGACTTTACTGATTACTCCTAATTTTACGAAGAAACTGGGGCTTTCTTCAAAGTAATTGTTAGCCTCAAATTAAATATTAAGTGGGAAAGGGAGGAAATATGTCACTGATTTAACATTCCTACCCTTGGGCTGGGAAACTCTTGACCAAGGAAAAATAGCATTTATGAGATAACTATTTCAACAGACCATTGGTTTATAAAGTGTCAAAGGGCTGCCAGCTTACCAACTGTTACTTTCCTATTGCCTCATAATAAAAATGAGATGGAATCTGGGACCTTAACTCCAGTGAAAGAGAACAAGAAGAGGTCCTGGCTGTGGTGAGGAGGGGTGTCTCTTATTGACCAAGGAGAATACCCACTCTTCTTGGCAAGTGAAGCCCTCTGCTTGTGTGGTTTGCAAGCATATTAAAAATGATGAATCAAATTATTTAACTGCTTAGTTTATGTTTCTATCGTCTATGCAAAGATCTTTGGTGTTGATACTGATCAATGCCAGTACTACACATTAGTTATAAAACCCAATGCCAGTTCTAAATAGGAAAAATGAAACAATGGAAATGTTCTTCTTTGAAGTTCACTAGGATCAGTCTATGTGAGGGACAATCTCTAAATAATGTCTTGCCTCTAGGACCCTAAGCAAATCTAGGAGAATAATGGCATGAACATCCAAGCTTATCTCAGTTGTCCTAGAGGACTACAGGAAAGATATTTTTTAAAAGGAAATTAACTTAATTGGCTCTAAGAGCTAAAAAAGTCTCATTCTAAAAAGAAAATCATTTATGACTTCAGATGCCCCATAAAAACTTCTGTATATCTCATCTGGAAAAAAAAACTCAGTATCACTGCTACCCATATATTTTTTAAAAATAGGATGTTATGCAGTCAAATGTTCTACCACTGAGCTATACCCCCAGGTTGTTATGGAGGTGGGGAAGCATAGCAGTGAAAGATTATAAAGGGGTTTGGAAATAACGGTGTGGTGCTGATTATTCACTTCATATTCCTGAGGTCTGAGAACAAAATATTTTCTTCGTATTTTGGGTGAATAATTCTCTAGAATTAGATTATTATGGCCGAGCTGTTGGTTTATGCAACTTCCCTGTGCTAACCAGGAACTAACCAGGAGAACACAAAGCAGGTTAATGTGCTCAAATGTTAGTCAGGCTTGTACAGAATTACCTCACAGTGGGGGCCGTGATGCCACCAATAAAGAGAATTCTACACCAACTTAATGGGTGACTGGCTTGGAACACAAAGATATGTTTCAAGAAGAAGGTATTCAACTCAGTCAGCTGAAAAAGAATGAGACATTAGTCAATCTGATACATCATATGTCTCAGGCAGGTTCATTTCAAGGACATAAAAGGTGTGTCTTTTCCCATAGAGATGACTTCAAGGATATAAAATAAACAATAGTCCAATAATTAATTAAGACTACATATGGCAAGCTGATCACAGCACAATGCTCACACTTGCAGGAAAAGTGTGCCCTGTGAATGCTGCCATTCTAGGAGCACACACTCTCTCTCCTGGACAAATCCAAAGTGCTCCTCAGTTCTTCAAGTAACAGAGAACCTACATTGCCCTCCCTCACCTTGCCCTGATAAGATAAAACTTAATCCTCATCCAGTTACACTCCCATTTTTATACGTACTGACTTCCCCAAACCATGGTGACTACTGAACTATATACACTTTATCCACAAACACCATTTACTGAGATAGGCATTACCACTCTCCATGTGTGGACAAGGAAGGCTGTCTGTCTTAAAAGTGACACAGGCTTACTTTCTCTTATATTGGGGAGTATTTTGTGCATATGAGATCAAAATATAATTTCTTATGATTCTCAAAGACCCTTTAGGCAAAAGCGAGTCTCCCAAAGTTGTGAAACAATTAACCTGGGGACTGGAGGATCAATCAAAAAGGCTGTCTCTAGAAAACAGAAATGTTTGGTAATCCTTTTCCAAGACCCTAGGCTTCAACTATGAATGACTTCAACTGTGTAATGGTCTGGTTGGAATGACAGCTTCTCTCCACTGACATCACCACTCTGGAGGAGACAAGGTCCCCAGATAGCTCTAGTGCCCCACAGGGTTCAGAGGGCTTCTTTATTTAGCCCTCTACAAATTACCCCAAGTGCTAACAGCTGAGGCACAATTTTAACAATCAAACATTAAATCTGGAATGTAAGAAAAAGCATTGCATTGGTTCCTTTGTCCTGAAAATGATCACTCTAAAATGCAGTACAATACCTAATTCACTGAGTGATGGATGCTGACCACAAGCATTCCCTTTCAGGGAATTTTAATCTGTTTCTAATTTGAAACTCAAAGATCCATATTTTAAATATCTTCCTGATAAAGCAAGACCTTAGGTATAATAACATTGCATTGTTTAATTATTCTAAGTCAGCTGCAGAATACTATATCTTCTAAAGCATCTAACTAGTAGGCAATGCCAACTAACATTTACTTTAAATTTCATGGATGGTTTTTATTTTGTTTTTGTTTCTCCTAATTCTGGGCATCTGAAGAAATACCTGCCAGATGATCATAAAAAGGTATACTCCAGCCACTCTCTGAAATGAAGATTTGGGGTCAAACCATCGAACGTAGGTCCAGCTAGCAGGAGTGAACTGGAGCACAGCTCTTTTAATTTTTCCAGTGGTGGTATGGATGTCCCTGTAAGAGGAGAATGATTCCACTGAAAATCCAAAGAGATAAGGAAGGGGAAGAAGAAAAAAACAAACACCACAAGAAAAACTGCCTGGACAATTTTACAACAAATGCTCAGAATGAAAAGATTCCTTTATAGCTGGACCATCTCTGCAACAGTGGTCTCTCTATGCACAGGTCAAGTTGTACACTCCACAGGAATTCAGCGATGACAGGCACAGCGCAGAGGTCAGGTCACTGCAGAGCCAGGAGAGACCTTAATTTGTGAACTGCTGACAAAAGAAGCTAAAGGCATTAAACACAACCACCTGGAACCATGCCAGGAAGAAGGAGGATGCCAGCAAGGATACGATTCCCACCCACTGCTCCTCTCCCAAGTCAGGGTATTTTAGTAAAATTGAGAACATGCTCCATATTCTCGAGGTCACCCACTTACCTCATTTCCTCACCCTATTTCTTCCTCATAAGCAAGCAGTTTGGATTGGCAAACTGATTTTAAACCTTTCTTAGTTTTAATCCTAGAAATCACTCAATAAACAATTTCATACTCCCATGACAGAAACAAAGGTTCTCACATATTACCAATGAGAACATTAGGCTCACAGAGCACCTGGCTGGCACAGGCCCACCTGGTAAGCATCAGAGCTGGGTATATTCTAGTCCTCTAGTGCTGGTCCCTGGAGAGCCGAAGTCCAAAGTAAATAGAATGTAATAACGGTAAAGATTCTTCAATTCAACAAAGATTTATATCCTGGACCTTTTTGTCTCAGACACTGTGCTAAGTGCTGCAGGCACAGGAACTAGTAAGTCAAACCTTTCATGCCTAAGGGGGAGGAGGCGAGGGGGCATGGAAGGAAACCAGGTTTGCTCCGTCATCACTCACCTACCCATCAATGAGTATGAAGTGAGAGAATCTCAAAGCAAGAAGATTCGAGGCACAAGGGCAACAAAAAATACCTATCCAAAAATAAATAAGAACCGTTAAGGACCATGTTAAAAAACTTCATGGGAATAGAGTGATACAGCCTGATTGAGAATTTAAGTCTTAATACAGCTATTCCTTGATTTTATAAGGGGGTTATGTACTGATAAACCCATCAAAGTTGAAAATATTGTTCAGTTGAAAATGCATTAATATACCTAACTACTGAACATCATAGCTTAGCCTGGCCTACCTTAAATGTGCTCAGAACACTTACATTAACCTAGAGTTGGACAAAACCATCTAACATTAAACCTATTTTATAATGAATTGTTGAGTAGTTCCTATAATCTATTGAATACTATACCAAAGGTGAAAAACAGAATGGTTGTATGGGTACAGAATGGTTGTTGAGTTTATTGGTTGTTTACCCTTGTGGTCATGTGGCTGAAGGGGGACTGTGACTCAATGCTTATGATCGCATTGCATATTGCTAACCCAGGAAAAGATCAAAATTCGAAATCTGAAGTACAGTTTCTAGAATGTGTATTGCTTTCACACCATCATAAAGTTGAAAAATCATTATGTTGAATCATACAGGGACTGTCTGTATAGTAGAGTGGTTAATTTAATTTAATCTGTAGTGATTTTCACATTTCACATAAATAAAAAAACAATGGGATTTTCATTTCTTAGCTGGGCTTGTGTTTTGGTAACTTGACAAAATGATTCTTAAGTCAAATTTTAAGTGTAAATGTATGAGAAAACAGAAGGATTATAGCAGTGTTTGAATGCAATACTGCTTATAAAGCTTGCTTTGAGCAATACCTAGCACAGCTAGTTTTTGATACATTATATACTGCCATAAATGACTAAAAACTGTCCTTTCAATTCTGTGGTCAAAGAAAGGATTATTAAAAAAGGAATCAGGAAAATTTGTTCATCAATTGCAAAAAACATTGTGAAATCTTCCCCCTCATACCATATACCAAAATTAACTTAAGATAGATTAAATAAATTACTTAATAAAGAGAATAAATGATTAAAGAACTAGAATCAAGGTTAACATTTATGTACACAAAAATATTAAAAGCTTTAATATTAATATTTATATTATATTTAATTAAATATTTAATATTTAAATGAAACACCTACCACAAACAAAATTAAAAGAAGGATGACAAAATGGAAAATAAAGTCACGGTTATGACAGTGTTACTATACTTAATCTACAAAGATCACTAATAAAGAGGAAAAATCCAATAGAAATGGCCTAGAAATTCAGTATCACAAAATTTTAAGTGTGATAAAACTGAAAAAGGTTCAAAAAAATTCAAAGAAACAGTGAAATAGACATATACACACATCAATGTATATAGATGAAAATATAAATTGGCATACCTTTAAAAATTACTAAAAAAATCAAGAGATGCAAAGATGTATGTTCAAGAATGTTCACTCTAGCTTTATAAAATAAAAAACTTTGAAACAATTAAATGATCACAACAGGGAACTGGTTAAATAGTTTATGATTTATCCATATGTTGGGATACAAAGAAACCCTTTAAAGTCATATGTTAGAATATTTAGTAATATAGGAAAATGCTCCTATTTTGTTATATAAATAAATGAAGTTTTAATTACAATAAAAACTACTACTTCCAAGATCACTATGGTTGTTCTTTTGCTCCTCATCAATGGCAGGGATCCTGTGATAGTCTAATCAAGGGCCAAGTTCAGGAAAGCAGGATACAGAATTATGGATGTGTACCGTCCCCAGAGCGGCATAGAGGAGGGACATGGAACTTCAACTAGAAAGTCAAGACAACTACCTGAATAGGGGACAAGCTGAGTGGAGTCAGAAAAGAAAAGGACCAGTCAGCCCAGCACATGGGAAACAGGTCCAACTCAGGTAGAAAGGAGTTCTGTGTACAAGCTCTGAACCGCAGGAACCCCAGAGGGCATGGAGAAAGGGGCCTGACCTGCCAGAGCATGGACACACTTTGTCCTAAAGAACATGACAAGCCATCACAGGGTAATGACATGATGAATCTACATTCTTAATACAATCATTCAAGTAATGGTGTGAGACAGCTTAAAGGGGCTAACCTGGGGTCAGAGAACTAAATCAATCCAGCAATGGTGGTCTGCAGACTGAGGCATAGGAATAAAAAGGAGGGGATGGAGTTGAGAAAACAGTAAACTATTTAGCATCTTCTCCAAGAATGCCTGAAATTAGGTTTGTAATCATTTATGTGTTTCAATTACTAATGTATAATTTATCCCTTATCATCAAAGAGCATACTAAAGTTGCATACTATTAAAGCACTTCAATATACACTGTGAAGAACTATATGCCCAGAAAGAAGATGGCTCACTTGAAGCTTGCCCAGTGGTAAGTCCTCATCTCTAAAAACCGGCAAACAACCATGCCCAGCCAGATGCCGCCACCATTGCACAACAGGATGTCCAGGATGACTTGATCCCACCAGCATTCGGCAAAATTAGGCAGCAGATGCATGAAGAAGAGCTGAGAAACACAACAGACAATGGTTGTAAAAAAAAAAAAAAGAGAAACCTGGTGTACCATGCAGAAAGACAAAATTCCTTTCAATAATACATTCTTTTATGGAAAGGTGCTGACATTTCAGGTTTTCTAATGTATTCAAAAAAATAAAATAAAAACAGTCTGTAGTCAGGTTCTTATTTTTCATACTGTAGTTGGTTTGCAAATCTAATAATCTAGACATTCTTTTTTTTGACATAGAGCTTTAAAGAAATGATGGTCCTTGAAATATAATACCACTGATGAATTACCTTGGCTAGTAACAATAGGACAAGGATCCAGGAGGGGAAAGGAGGAAGAGCTTCACACCTGCCAACAGGGCACTGGCATCATCCTCAAAATTAGCAGCTTGAAAATTCAAGCTTGCATTTAAGAAATGTTCCATAGCTAGATAGTAATAAATAACATAAATAAGCAAATAAAAAGTGAGTAAACTGTGCAAGTAGAAAGGTTAGATTTTGTTGGTATGCTGTAGGAAACTGAAAGCATAATAGGAACTCTCAGATTAACCAACCCACAAGGATGATAACCTTACTCAGTGCTGATGATGTGCAAGTCTCTTTTAATTTTTCCAGTGGTGGTATGGATGTCCCTGTAAGAGGAGAATGATTCCACTGAAAATCCAAAGAGATAAGGAAGGGGAAGAAGAAAAAAACAAACACCACAAGAAAAACTGCCTGGACAATTTTACAACAAATGCTCAGAATGAAAAGATTCCTTTATAGCTGGACCATCTCTGCAACAGTGGTCTCTCTATGCACAGGTCAAGTTGTACACTCCACAGGAATTCAGCGATGACAGGCACAGCGCAGAGGTCAGGTCACTGCAGAGCCAGGAGAGACCTTAATTTGTGAACTGCTGACAAAAGAAGCTAAAGGCATTAAACACAACCACCTGGAACCATGCCAGGAAGAAGGAGGATGCCAGCAAGGATACGATTCCCACCCACTGCTCCTCTCCCAAGTCAGGGTATTTTAGTAAAATTGAGAACATGCTCCATATTCTCGAGGTCACCCACTTACCTCATTTCCTCACCCTATTTCTTCCTCATAAGCAAGCAGTTTGGATTGGCAAACTGATTTTAAACCTTTCTTAGTTTTAATCCTAGAAATCACTCAATAAACAATTTCATACTCCCATGACAGAAACAAAGGTTCTCACATATTACCAATGAGAACATTAGGCTCACAGAGCACCTGGCTGGCACAGGCCCACCTGGTAAGCATCAGAGCTGGGTATATTCTAGTCCTCTAGTGCTGGTCCCTGGAGAGCCGAAGTCCAAAGTAAATAGAATGTAATAACGGTAAAGATTCTTCAATTCAACAAAGATTTATATCCTGGACCTTTTTGTCTCAGACACTGTGCTAAGTGCTGCAGGCACAGGAACTAGTAAGTCAAACCTTTCATGCCTAAGGGGGAGGAGGCGAGGGGGCATGGAAGGAAACCAGGTTTGCTCCGTCATCACTCACCTACCCATCAATGAGTATGAAGTGAGAGAATCTCAAAGCAAGAAGATTCGAGGCACAAGGGCAACAAAAAATACCTATCCAAAAATAAATAAGAACCGTTAAGGACCATGTTAAAAAACTTCATGGGAATAGAGTGATACAGCCTGATTGAGAATTTAAGTCTTAATACAGCTATTCCTTGATTTTATAAGGGGGTTATGTACTGATAAACCCATCAAAGTTGAAAATATTGTTCAGTTGAAAATGCATTAATATACCTAACTACTGAACATCATAGCTTAGCCTGGCCTACCTTAAATGTGCTCAGAACACTTACATTAACCTAGAGTTGGACAAAACCATCTAACATTAAACCTATTTTATAATGAATTGTTGAGTAGTTCCTATAATCTATTGAATACTATACCAAAGGTGAAAAACAGAATGGTTGTATGGGTACAGAATGGTTGTTGAGTTTATTGGTTGTTTACCCTTGTGGTCATGTGGCTGAAGGGGGACTGTGACTCAATGCTTATGATCGCATTGCATATTGCTAACCCAGGAAAAGATCAAAATTCGAAATCTGAAGTACAGTTTCTAGAATGTGTATTGCTTTCACACCATCATAAAGTTGAAAAATCATTATGTTGAATCATACAGGGACTGTCTGTATAGTAGAGTGGTTAATTTAATTTAATCTGTAGTGATTTTCACATTTCACATAAATAAAAAAACAATGGGATTTTCATTTCTTAGCTGGGCTTGTGTTTTGGTAACTTGACAAAATGATTCTTAAGTCAAATTTTAAGTGTAAATGTATGAGAAAACAGAAGGATTATAGCAGTGTTTGAATGCAATACTGCTTATAAAGCTTGCTTTGAGCAATACCTAGCACAGCTAGTTTTTGATACATTATATACTGCCATAAATGACTAAAAACTGTCCTTTCAATTCTGTGGTCAAAGAAAGGATTATTAAAAAAGGAATCAGGAAAATTTGTTCATCAATTGCAAAAAACATTGTGAAATCTTCCCCCTCATACCATATACCAAAATTAACTTAAGATAGATTAAATAAATTACTTAATAAAGAGAATAAATGATTAAAGAACTAGAATCAAGGTTAACATTTATGTACACAAAAATATTAAAAGCTTTAATATTAATATTTATATTATATTTAATTAAATATTTAATATTTAAATGAAACACCTACCACAAACAAAATTAAAAGAAGGATGACAAAATGGAAAATAAAGTCACGGTTATGACAGTGTTACTATACTTAATCTACAAAGATCACTAATAAAGAGGAAAAATCCAATAGAAATGGCCTAGAAATTCAGTATCACAAAATTTTAAGTGTGATAAAACTGAAAAAGGTTCAAAAAAATTCAAAGAAACAGTGAAATAGACATATACACACATCAATGTATATAGATGAAAATATAAATTGGCATACCTTTAAAAATTACTAAAAAAATCAAGAGATGCAAAGATGTATGTTCAAGAATGTTCACTCTAGCTTTATAAAATAAAAAACTTTGAAACAATTAAATGATCACAACAGGGAACTGGTTAAATAGTTTATGATTTATCCATATGTTGGGATACAAAGAAACCCTTTAAAGTCATATGTTAGAATATTTAGTAATATAGGAAAATGCTCCTATTTTGTTATATAAATAAATGAAGTTTTAATTACAATAAAAACTACTACTTCCAAGATCACTATGGTTGTTCTTTTGCTCCTCATCAATGGCAGGGATCCTGTGATAGTCTAATCAAGGGCCAAGTTCAGGAAAGCAGGATACAGAATTATGGATGTGTACCGTCCCCAGAGCGGCATAGAGGAGGGACATGGAACTTCAACTAGAAAGTCAAGACAACTACCTGAATAGGGGACAAGCTGAGTGGAGTCAGAAAAGAAAAGGACCAGTCAGCCCAGCACATGGGAAACAGGTCCAACTCAGGTAGAAAGGAGTTCTGTGTACAAGCTCTGAACCGCAGGAACCCCAGAGGGCATGGAGAAAGGGGCCTGACCTGCCAGAGCATGGACACACTTTGTCCTAAAGAACATGACAAGCCATCACAGGGTAATGACATGATGAATCTACATTCTTAATACAATCATTCAAGTAATGGTGTGAGACAGCTTAAAGGGGCTAACCTGGGGTCAGAGAACTAAATCAATCCAGCAATGGTGGTCTGCAGACTGAGGCATAGGAATAAAAAGGAGGGGATGGAGTTGAGAAAACAGTAAACTATTTAGCATCTTCTCCAAGAATGCCTGAAATTAGGTTTGTAATCATTTATGTGTTTCAATTACTAATGTATAATTTATCCCTTATCATCAAAGAGCATACTAAAGTTGCATACTATTAAAGCACTTCAATATACACTGTGAAGAACTATATGCCCAGAAAGAAGATGGCTCACTTGAAGCTTGCCCAGTGGTAAGTCCTCATCTCTAAAAACCGGCAAACAACCATGCCCAGCCAGATGCCGCCACCATTGCACAACAGGATGTCCAGGATGACTTGATCCCACCAGCATTCGGCAAAATTAGGCAGCAGATGCATGAAGAAGAGCTGAGAAACACAACAGACAATGGTTGTAAAAAAAAAAAAAAGAGAAACCTGGTGTACCATGCAGAAAGACAAAATTCCTTTCAATAATACATTCTTTTATGGAAAGGTGCTGACATTTCAGGTTTTCTAATGTATTCAAAAAAATAAAATAAAAACAGTCTGTAGTCAGGTTCTTATTTTTCATACTGTAGTTGGTTTGCAAATCTAATAATCTAGACATTCTTTTTTTTGACATAGAGCTTTAAAGAAATGATGGTCCTTGAAATATAATACCACTGATGAATTACCTTGGCTAGTAACAATAGGACAAGGATCCAGGAGGGGAAAGGAGGAAGAGCTTCACACCTGCCAACAGGGCACTGGCATCATCCTCAAAATTAGCAGCTTGAAAATTCAAGCTTGCATTTAAGAAATGTTCCATAGCTAGATAGTAATAAATAACATAAATAAGCAAATAAAAAGTGAGTAAACTGTGCAAGTAGAAAGGTTAGATTTTGTTGGTATGCTGTAGGAAACTGAAAGCATAATAGGAACTCTCAGATTAACCAACCCACAAGGATGATAACCTTACTCAGTGCTGATGATGTGCAAGGTGGTGAGACAACATGAAGTCAAAATTCCAAACATCTGACTCCGTAAGGGCAGGAGTCAGATGTTTACCCAGGACCACAACATAAGGTGTGCTGCAGCAAGTGTTACAATGGTGACATAAATGTACACTGAGGACAAAAGAGAGATTCACTCTGATGGATGACAATTGGAGCAGGCTCCTGGAGGGAAGGCATATTGGAACAGGATCATTAAGGACAGGAATTGCCGGTTTCACGAGATGGAGATGAAGATGAAGACATTCTAGAAAGAGGGAACAGTAAGAGCAAGCAGGAAAAGAAGTCTCCTATGGGAATCGTTTTGTCCAGAATAAAGGACACATCAGCTGTGGCCTGAGCAGCATGCCCTGCTGTGTGAAGGCCCTTAGGAAAGTATGTAAAGACAAGCCAATGCCTGGGGTTCTCTGGGAAGAGGCAGCCCCATAACGACAAACCTCTGAAGAATATAAATCATTACAGAGATGAGGAGTTTGCCTTCTTCACATGCTTGCTACCAAGATACAGAACGGGCTACTGCATGTGAAGGCCTGCGGCTGTGTTGCTCTGCAAGTGGGCCTGGTACCACCCAGGAAGTACATTCCCAGGTTCCCAGCCAGGAGACGACTTATTAACTCTTGCCCTTAGACAGGGAAGAGAGAACCTTCAGCAGAAGTTGATGACACATATTTGCTGAAACAAAACTATGCAGGGGAGTGGGAAGCAGAGGGCATACTTCAGCCTGAAGAGCTTTCCTGGGAAGCTGCAGGTTCTGGAGGTGAGATGGGGGCCCGAGAGACCCAAGCAGGAGTTGCTGAGGGGCTGCGTTCACTTATTTACTAGGGATTTGGGAAGCATCTACTACGTGTGCAGCAGAGTACCTAAGACGACTATGCTGGCACAGGTCTATGGAGCCCAGCCACTGCAGGGAGCTGGCAAGAGAGGGAAGGGCAGGCAGGCCGGCTCTGTGGTAGGAAAGGACACAGAATCTTCGATGTGAAGAAAGCAAAGATGGCTGGAGCACAGACACCGAGCTGGAGACGGCCCTGAGCAGGCTGGGGCCAGTTAACATAAGGCCTCACAGGCTGGTTCAGGAGTTTGGATTCTGTCTTAACAGCAAGGGGCAAACTAAAGTAGAAGGAGGATGTGATAGGGTTGAGGCCTGAAAAGGGTCACTTTGGCAAAAGATAGTATGAAAGGATGGGACTATACTTCGGACAAGAGATGACAGTGGGTTAGATATAAGTGGGAGCAGAGGTGTACAAAGACTTAGACTGCAGAGCACTTAGAACAGAGTCTACAGGGAGCTGAGGAGCAGGTAAGGGAAGGTGCACAAGGCCCAGTCTGTTGTATGAGGGAAGAGGAGGCAAGCAAGGCTGGCAAAGGCCAAGTGCCCTGAACCATGTCATCCAGCAGAGGGGTGAAGATGCCTGGAAGTCAGAGGTGCTGGTATGAGAGCGGGAGCATGGGCTGCACATGTGGAGTCAAGCATATTTGGAATCCAATTGTGGCCTACCTAACAAAGCAAGGCCCTGAGCTCTGCTTCCCTCATCTGTCCACGGGAAAGATAGCAGCCTTTTCCAGTTTATGGTGAGGGTTGAGGATAATAATATGTACAGTGTCAGGTACCGTTAAGGGCTGAACTGTGTTCCCCCCAGGTCCACATGTCAAAGTCTTCCAGTATGTCATAATGTGAATTTACTTAGAAATAGAGTCATTAAAGATGTTACTAGTTGAGTTGAGGTCATACAGGAATACAGTGGGTCCAAACCCAGCATGATCTGAGTCTTAACCCAAAGAATGCCAGGTGAATGCACACAGGGAGAACACCACATGAAGGTGAAGGGAGAGATCAGGGGATGTATCTACAAGCCAAGGAACACCAAAGATGAAAGGACACAGAATCTTCGATGTGAAGAAAGCAAAGATGGCTGGAGCACAGACACCGAGCTGGAGACGGCCCTGAGCAGGCTGGGGCCAGTTAACATAAGGCCTCACAGGCTGGTTCAGGAGTTTGGATTCTGTCTTAACAGCAAGGGGCAAACTAAAGTAGGAGGAGGATGTGATAGGGTTGAGGCCTGAAAAGGGTCACTTTGGCAAAAGATAGTATGAAAGGATGGGACTATACTTCGGACAAGAGATGACAGTGGGTTAGATATAAGTGGGAGCAGAGGTGTACAAAGACTTAGACTGCAGAGCACTTAGAACAGAGTCTACAGGGAGCTGAGGAGCAGGTAAGGGAAGGTGCACAAGGCCCAGTCTGTTGTATGAGGGAAGAGGAGGCAAGCAAGGCTGGCAAAGGCCAAGTGCCCTGAACCATGTCATCCAGCAGAGGGGTGAAGATGCCTGGAAGTCAGAGGTGCTGGTATGAGAGCGGGAGCATGGGCTGCACATGTGGAGTCAAGCATATTTGGAATCCAATTGTGGCCTACCTAACAAAGCAAGGCCCTGAGCTCTGCTTCCCTCATCTGTCCACGGGAAAGATAGCAGCCTTTTCCAGTTTATGGTGAGGGTTGAGGATAATAATATGTACAGTGTCAGGTACCGTTAAGGGCTGAACTGTGTTCCCCCCAGGTCCACATGTCAAAGTCTTCCAGTATGTCATAATGTGAATTTACTTAGAAATAGAGTCATTAAAGATGTTACTAGTTGAGTTGAGGTCATACAGGAATACAGTGGGTCCAAACCCAGCATGATCTGAGTCTTAACCCAAAGAATGCCAGGTGAATGCACACAGGGAGAACACCACATGAAGGTGAAGGGAGAGATCAGGGGATGTATCTACAAGCCAAGGAACACCAAAGACTGCCAGCAAACCCCTGGAAACCAAGAGAAGGGTGGAGAACATATTGTTCCTCAGCCCTTGGAGGGAACCAAGCCTGCCAATACCTGGAACAGGGACTTCTAGCCCCCAGAGCTATGAGGCATGTGAACCAAAGCTGTGCCTAACTGGCAGGCTTTTCTAAGTTAGGGTCAGCACAAGGTCTGGCATCAAAAAATACACTATGCACAAGTTCAATTTTGTCCTATGGGAATGATTAATAAGAATTGTATAGTAACTGATTATTAAATGAGTTAGTTCCCCAAATTAATTTTCCTAATATTTTTCAAGAATATATCTCTTTCATTCATTAAGACAAACAATTACTGAGATATTAGAGCTATACTGAGAAACCATGTTTTCAGCTACAAAATAGTCTGGATGCTCTTCTAATTCCTAAACACCACAATTCTATCTATTTCAGGCTGGAAACTAGTTAGTGGGTCAACCTACTTATTTACTTTAAAACAGACCTCCTTGTTACCAAATATTTGTCTCACTTGGAATTTTAACTTCATTCTTTGGCTTTATTTCATTTGTTTCTCTCTAAGACTTATGAGACTAAGGCATGTTTTAAGTTAACAAGTTTTCTTTTTTCTCTCCACAAAGGTATAAAATATTCCTAGGGGAGGACTTAAATCCAGTTTTGTATCACAAGAGCTGGAGAATGGATTAATTGATTGTTAATGGTCAGACTATCTTCTTCCTACCTATAAACCATCCACCCTATATGCCAGATAACAGCCCATACCCCACTCTTACCTCAGTTAGCTCCCAGGTAATGCTGATTGTCCAGCATAGACCGTAACTACGGATCAACAAGGCCTTCATGGCCCAGCCCCAGAAATGTCCAAAAGCAAATATATCAAAATGGCTGATAATCCTCTCCCAGGTGATAACATGGCAGTTCACAGCATATTCCTATTTAAAATAAAGGGAAAATAATTAATAACACTTTAGAAATCAACTTATTTCTAGGATTCAGACAATAAGTATAAAGAACTGATAGGACCTTGACAACCAACACATGTCCTGCCCAATAAAAAAAAGAGCTTTAATAATTGAAGATTCTTGAGGACAAATGAACAAGTATTAGAATTTATGAATCAGAATTGCTCTGCTCTGAATTGCTAATAGTTGGTTAAGATGGGAAGCAAAATAAAAGGAGTTGTATCACATAGCCCATATCACATGACCATAGGGCAATGGTGTTAAAGCCAGTAAAAAAACATAAATAGAATCCCAATAAATAAAGAATAAATAGAATCCCATTAGGTTTGGAAATTTAAAAACACATGTATGTTTCATGGAGTAAATAAGAAACCATAATAGAAATTTAAAATATATTCTCTAATAAATGATAATGAAAATACTACATATAGAAATGATGGGATGCAGTTAAGCAGAACTTAGAGGAAAATATAAAGACATAAATATCTATATTAGAAAAGAAGTTGAAGCTTCCCACTTTATTCTCATTCCAAAATGTATCCAACAGTACATAAATATTTAAAAATTACAAAGCTTCTAAGAATTTTGGTTCCATTTACAATTATCTTTTTGTTTTTATCATGACATTAATATTTTTAAGTAATTTTAACTCAACATCCCTATATTTCTTTCTTTATTAGGAAGCCAGTTATCATATGACTATATAATCTTTCTCAGCAGTCTATGTATTTCACATTCTTTCTTCCCAAAATTAATCAGTAGGAAAGAGTAAGATTTGGACAATATCCACCTATTATCAGCCAGCTGAAATAATTCCTCTAAAGCATAATAGTTTCAAATGCTAGAAATGCTTTCTGAGGAAGCAAAAGAGCAGCTGGTACTCCTGTCTCTTTGGAAACCCACCACATCAGATTTATTAAGCCTCAGATCTCATGCATTTCAATTTGCAAAGTGGAATGGATATTTTAAAAATATGTATTTTTTTCAGAAACATTGCAATGTAGTATCATGATGTGTAAGTGGAAAATCTGGAGAAAAGAAAAAATTCAACAGATCTAAGTCAAGACAAGACTTACAAAAAAAACTGCTGCAGTAAGATGAAAATTCTCTTTCTAGATTCTGCAACATGTGCCTGTCACAGAATCACAAGGTGACAGAAAGAAGGGCCCTTAGGTGTATGTTATATGTCAGGTGAAGGAGGCAGTGAGAGAAGCAGTAATAGGTTAAGGAGAGCTGTAAGGCCCTGTCAACCCCAAATTCTTCTGCCACTCTACCTGCTTAAGTACTCTGCACACACAGCTTAGGGTTAATTAAGAAAGGGATGGGTTGTTTTCAGAAGACTCCTCTCAAAGTAATCACAGGTTGAAGACAACTTTAGAAACATTTCTACTCTCTATGAGAATATTTCTGTGTTTCAGCATATGGAAAGGCACTTTGAAAATCGTAAAGAGCCAAATTATCTATTAGCATTGTAGTTGTTGATGAACAGATTTGCCAATGATCACATCTGGAAGACCTAAAGGTCCTGGATCTGGGAGGGATGCAGGATGCTGCAGTTTAATACTGCTGGGGAGATGCAAGCAGGCATGCCCCCAGAAGCAGGAGGAAAAGGCATAAAATAAGAACATACCAGAACCAGGGAGAGTGTGTGTGCATGCGTGTGTGTCTGCGGCATGTGCAAGTTAACGATAGGTAAGAACAAATCTGCCTACCTTCCAAATGGTCAGAAGGCTGAATTTAGTGGTTCTATCTTCTCCCTGCCTTACCCAGCACTTAGCCAAACACCAAGTCCTATTCATTTTACTTCTCCAAGTGTTTCTTTTTTTCATCTCACTGCCATTATTATCACTTGCTTAGGCTACTGCAATAGCTTTTCAAAATTATGAAATATTTTGGGTATATAAAAAAGCTTCAATGATGCTTTAATAAGTACCTGACTACCCACCTCTAGCTTAAGATGGCAAAGATTTTAACTGATCTCTATATTCACTTTTGCTTCCTGTAACTGATTCTCTACAAACAAAATGACTTCTCAGATCATGAATCAGACCATTTTGGGTGCATGTGTGTTGGGGGAGGGCTGGGTAAGTCAGCCTTCCTGTGCAGAAGATCTCCACTGCTATACAATACAGGCCTCCTACCCCCCTCCTGCTCATACCTCCTTGGGGAATTCATGACCTTAGAAAAAGAACATAAGTACTTTCACTCTTTTGGATCTTCTTGGGGACTCTGTCATCCTAGCAGAAAATTCTGCAGGTCAGGCTCTGCCTTGCGGGAAGAAGCCTGTGGTTGTCAGTGGGGCAGGGGAGCACAAGCCTGGTAAAACTGGGGTGGCGTGGTATCAGCAGGGCCACATGGCCCAGGTCTGAAGCCATGTGCTTGCTCCCTGAGCTTTCACCAGGAAGAAATTGGCTGATAGTCTGCACTCTTTTTTTCTGTTTCCAAACTTGACTGGAGATGGGACATTGTTTATTGACCTGCTACAACACTAATAGAGACAATACAGCTCTGCTCATAAACCTTCCATGGTCCTTTAGTACATTTACAACATCCAAGCTCCTCATCCCAGTCTGTCCAGCACAGGAATTACCCTCCTCTCCCTCCTGACTTCTACTCTCCTTCAGCTGCTGACTGATCCCAGCTCCCTGGACGTGGAGCCTCCACACAGACTATTTCATTTTCCTAGATAACGGCTTCGATCCCCTACTTCCCACTTTGCTTGGCTAACTCCCACTCATTTTTAGTTGTCAGCTTAACTCATTTTTAGTTGTCAGCTTAAACGTCTTTCCTGACTTCCCAGACTGGACTGGGGCCCTCTGTTAAGTTTTATAGCACTCTCTTCTTTTTGTCATTGCACTGCACTGCACACTGAAGTCCTTATGCTACCTTGGTTTTATGATACATCTTTCTCACATGGTAGCATCTGGAGACTTGGGATGAATATACAATGTTTGGTGCATTTATAATATGAGGCTTCTCTTTTTCCCTCCCCAAAACCATACCTATAATTGACAGTAGACCTTAAAATGGATGCTAACTTCCTCACCCCATGATTGAGCTTAACCTTAAAAAAAAAAAAGAGATAGCCAGACATCATGGGTGCCCTTGTGACACACAGCACCACCTAGTAAGTTGTCCTGCCACAGAAACCAAGGCCTGTATATCCAACTTCTAGTTCACAGGAAATACAGGTGACAGAGAGATACCCTGTATGAAACCAATACATGCAAGCTGCAAAATTCAGACATGAAAAACTATGGAACAAATAATATGGCTTCCTTGAAAAGTAAACTTCAAGGTAAGAAGGGACCACTGATCAAATGAGATTTAAGAGGTGCAGCAACTACAATGTGTAGACCTTGTCTGGATCCAATTTTGAATGCATCAACTGTAAAAAACCTTTACGAAGTGATTGGGGAAATGTCAACACTGATGGCATACTGTTAGCTGTTAAGCAACTGAAAATGGCATTGTAATATTTTTTTTAAAGTCCATATATTAATTGAGAACCGCTTCAAAACAATCCAAGATGTATGTGGAGGGGGCAGGGAACAAAACTAAACACATATTGATAAAATTTTAGAAAACTATTTAAGTTGTTTAGAGTTCAAGAAAAAGAGCCAACAATCATTTGTTTAATTTGCCTTCTTGTAGACTCTAAGAGGCAATGCCTACCTATCCTTTGCCCCCGATACCACCAGGATGGTGTCTGGCACACAGGAAAAGCTTAGGGAGTGCTTACTAAATGAAAGGTGCCACGTCAGACAGCCCAGGTTATAAATCAGATGTGCTCTGAAAGCTCATCTGAAAGTTGGAAAGCACTTTTGAATTAGTATTTAGAAATGTAGCAAACTTTCTGGGCAATTACACAAAATACTACCCCTAAGAGGATTTCAGTGACCCCCAACCCCAATTTACAATGTTAGTTCTGAGAGAAAACGGAGCCTGAATCTCAGTGTGCGATACCAGGCGTGGGCCAGAGCCAGCAAGGCCTGGAACTGGAGGCAGCGCTGAAGGGCTGGGAGAGCAGACAACCCCAGGAACAAGGCAGCTGCAGTATGCTGTCCGACAGATTCTCTCTCAGGGAGGATTCACCACAGATTCAAGGAAAAGGAAGGCACATCTCTAGAGCCATCAAAGAACAGGTCCTTAGAAATGTGAAAGATCACTTTCAGGAACTATGAGGTGACGAGGGAGAAGACTGAGGATGCTCTACAGCAGCTGGACTGTGGACACTGAAAGCAGCCTAAGGCTTTGCTTCGCTTGGCAAGGAAGAATTAGGCAATACTTGGAAACCAGACTTTTGTAAGTCAGTTTCAGCTCTGTTGGGGCTTTAATTGTGACAACTGGATGTTCCTGTGATGTCAACTTCCTTAGGAAGCTAGATGTCAAGGGCATTATTAGATTCAACCTGTGCAAATAGGAAGGACAGAGAGACACACCAGCAAATCCATCTGCAAGTCAGGTTACTTTGTAATATGACCAATTTTGCTCAAAACTCCTAGAAAATTGTGGGGAAAATATCACATCTGAGACCCCTTACTCCCAATCTCTGCTTCATAAGGCTCCAGTAAGTGTCAAAGCACTTACTGCTACTACAGTCACATACTCGAGGCACTGTCCAAAGGAAAAATACACACTTTGGAGTCAGAGGGATTTTACCAGCTTATGCTTTGAGCAAGATACTCATCCATTTTAAGCTTCTATTTCCTCCTTGGTTAAACAGGTATATTAATGCCTATGATGCCTGTGTGAGGTTTATATGGACTATATGGAAAGCATCCAGCACAGTGCCTGGCAGAGTAGACAACCCACAGTCAGAACTGTTATAATCTTCTCTGCAACAGTCATTATCATCACTGTCATCATAGTACTGGTAAAGTCATCTGTACCATTGTCTTCCTCAGAGTGGGAAACCCCCAAAACAGACTTTCTCCCTAAAACTTTAAAATAATTTTTGGCATTCCTGTTGAACATGACCTTTACAAAAGTTAAAAGATAAAATCCAGAAACACCATTTCAAGAAGGGTCAGACATTCTTAACTCCAATAGAATGATTACCTCATGGACCTTTTATTAAGTCCCTTTGTGTTGCTTCTTGTTTGTTAAACAAGGGCCCATCTATGGCCCCAAAGCCTGTTCTTCTTTTCTGAGCATCTCTAGGTTTTTGTTCAACTGGTACCAAATATTAGGCATTAAAGAAAGGAAAGGACTGCAGTATAGAGTAGCCTCTTTGCTGAAAGCCAAAGTATAGAAGAGCTTTAGCCAAGAATAAAATTATTTTTTTGTGGTTTAATTAAAATAATGAATGGAATAGCCTAAATCACTACAATTGGCTCTGTCATGGCAAACAGGGGAGAAGGCCCGGCATCAGGGCTGGAGCTGGGGAGTAGAGGGGGACACTCACAGAGTTGCCACTGCTGTCACCCAGGACCTGGTGTGGGCAAGGCACCCACTGGGCCTCCTGATGATGTTACTTCACTTAGTTCACAGTAAGGTCCTAAGTGAATGCTACTATTTCCCTTCACAGGAAGGGAAACAGCCCAACAAGTGTGTTACCCAGAGTTTTACAGCTAGAAATTGACAGAGATGGAATTCACACCCAAGGCTGCCTGAGGATAATGCTCACAGGCTTCTTACCATCCCCCTTTGCTCAAAAACAGGATTTCATTTCCCTGGACTGTACCACTCATGGAAACCACACACCTCTCCAACCTGCCCATATACCTGGCTTTTAGATCTCTACACAGAAAATATGGAGAAGGAACAATTGAGAATGTGAAGTCAGCCAACTCCTTCTGCCAAGAGTCTGCCAACTTCTCCACAAGACCAGTGACAAGTACATACCATGACATCTGCTTCCCTTGTGGCGTATCGAAGATTCGGATCCAGCCAGTACATCAGGGATTTAACCTGCTCGAAGTTCAGGAAGAGGAGGAACACCAGGAACAGGAAGTAGAGCACACTGAGTCCTGAGGGAAACACAGATACTCTCATGTTTAGGAATGATCTGGGAGGTAGATGCCAGCGCATGTTAGACCCAAGTCGCCTAAGGTCAAAGCAGACATTGACCTTGGAACAGCATGCTAAGCCCCCCATTACAGTGTGGTATTTCCTTTATGACAGTCAGAGGCACAGTCCTAACTCAGACTGAGAAGGGTTGTAATATCCTCTGGGAGTAGGTGCAACATTCAGGCAGAGAAAGGCATGCAGTAGGTCCCTGGGAAGAGAAAGGCCTGAGGGCTGGCATGTGGCTGGGGTGCCAGCAAAACGGTAAAGGGGCAGGTGCACAGAAGTGACAGTCAGGGATTGGGGGCCATGGCAGAGATTTTAGATTTTATTTTAAGTGAAACTAGGAGCACATGATGGGTTTTAAGTAGAGAAAGAAGATGACCTAGGTAGCATTTCACAAAGCTGACCAGCTGCCGCGTGGAGAGTGGATGGGGGTAGACAAGGCCAGGCAACATGTTACTGTCACGTCACACCAGAACTGATATCCTAATAACCACCCCACATCACTTAAAAATAAAGTTAAAAATCCACTTTAAGAAAGCAAAAGCCTGTAAATAAATTTTTGAAAGATTTGAATACCAACTGCCAGTGGTTTTCTCACTTCTTCTGTTGAACCTGCTACAATTAAAACATTTATGCAAGACATCTAGACACCGTGACACAAATCACCTTGGATCACAGTCCCCCACTTAAACTTGGCACAACACAAGCCTCCAGGGAGCTGCTCCAGAGGAGACAAAGGCCACAGCCAGCACGAAGTCCCCAGTAACAGCTACTGCGCCAGGCCTCTCCCCGGGGCCTCTCCCGCTTCTCAGAGAGCTTTGGGAGCTTCAGAGTTGCATGGGCAGATCCAGCCACACATCCGGGGGCCCAGGACGCAGACATTTTAGGCATACTGGTATGAGGACCTCCTCAGGTTTGTACTTATGCACCAGTTGTTTTTACTTATTTTCACCTCAAATGTCCCCCATTACAACTTTTTATTATAAGCCTTTCAAATTAAGACAGAACTAAAGCATCTGTGGAGCAGGGGTTATCTTAAACTGAAATTCATTGTTGGGCTTCAAGGTCTGTGAAGCCTTGGATAGAATATGCACAATTCGTGTGTGTGTGTGTGTGAGTGTGTGTGCGCGCTGGGAGAGGCCCATTGTTCAAAGGGCTCCATGAGCCCAAAAAGATCTCAGGTGAAAAAAATAAAACTGCTCATTGCCTATAATGGACCATTTGAAATAAGCGAAACTCAAATGTAGCCAACTAGCTGAAAATGACTTAAAAGTTCAAGCAGCAATATTAAGTCCATGAGATGTACGTAGGATGTAATCAGGACTATCTTTTGAAAAATATACATGAATCATATCTCTTCTCTGCAAAAAATCCTCCCATGACCTCCCACTGCCCTTCACATCTGCACTCCATACTGGTGCACAGCCTGTAGGGTTGGTGCATGCCAACTCTGACCTTTCTCTTATTACTCCCCTGGGGCCTGCTACCCTCCAGCCACACCACCTGGAACACACCAAGCTCCTTCTTGCTGGGCACCATTCTAGAAACCTTTCCCTGGGTCTGGCCTCCCTCCTACAGGTTGGCTCGCTTAGGTCTTTCTTCAGGTGGTTTCCACCTGGGTCTGTCCCTCAAGTTTCCCCTCACCTGCAAGTGAAAGCAGCTGCTCAGTCACTGCTGCAAGTGGTTTTAACAAACTTCCCAACACTTAGTGACATCCGGTGTCTTCTGAGTAATGATATATTTAATACTTTGTTTGCTATAGCTGTACTCTCTCCCTGGGGCCACACCATTGCAGCCCCAGGGCCAGAGCAGCACCTGCCACAGGGAGGCACTCAGTGAACACTTGCAGAGCAAATGACAGATTCACCACTAAATTGGAAGAGATTTACCTATGATCTCTGAAGGCTGAAGGAAGAATAGGTGATCTTTAGCAAAATATCCATTTTTAGGATCTTTTCATATAAGATACACTTTTGAAACCTATATAATTTATGTGATGTCTTACTTAGGCAAGATGAAGCCAAATATCCAAAGCTTTTAAGAGTTATTTTGAATCCATTCAGATGATTTGACTACTTGGACTAGAAATCAAGTAGAAACAAAACATCCAATATTTACATTAGATGTTTACTACTAAACTGTATTTCAAATCAGGGCTCTTTATCTAAAGACTTTTCCTGTTTCCAAGATCTTTCTACTCATAACACTGAGGAGATGGATGGGTTTTTGGTCCCTCCTGGATGCCAATAAGACTAATATGTTCACAGGACACACGCTTGCCCTCATTAACAACACTAACATACATAAAAATTTTTAAAAAGCCACATTCCCTTACGTCAAAGCCTGTGTAAATTAAGAGACAACAGCATAAGAAGGGGGCAAGTGGAGTTGCAACAATTCACATGTAGCAGAATTGCAGTTATCACCAATATGTTTTTGCGACAAAGAATTTTAACAAAAAATTTGTATTAGGAACATGAAAAAGTAAAAAGCTATGATTTTACTGTAGAACGGTAAGTAGACCTGCTATAATGATGGAGATGAAGAACTTTTTTAAGTAGGACATATTTTAAGATGTATTAATGGGTGACTCACCAAAAACCATTCTCCATAAGGCTGGATGCGGTCGAGTAAACGGACCTGCAGAAAGGTAACATTATAAGGTTAGAGCAAACTGGTTTCAAACAAAAATTTTAAAATGAAAGCACTGCTGATCTCCATTCTACATGAATAGTTTGTGGTCAAAGTGTCAGTTGAAATGTTTTATCCTTTTATGCACATTGTAACAACTGTTTCCACAATTGTAACAGGCACCAATCTCCACGACAGAGGTGTTTTTTTCTTTTTTTAAAGGTTTTGTCTTTAGAACTCAGACTGTAATTTCCCTGGAAGCAGTGTTGTAACAGCAAGCAGATTACCAGGGTGGCCTTTAAGCGTACATGATACCACAACAAGTAAGTTGTAAGATTCACAGCTACTCAGGTGTTCCAGGGAAAGATGTTCCGGACAGTCCTGGTGTGTGTGTGTGTGTGTGTGCCTGTGTGTGTGACAGACAGAGGGTGAGAAAGAGAGACTCTGAAAATGTAAGACAAGAGAAATACTGTGCTTTGAAAGCAAGTGAGAAGGACATGTGCCTGAAAACCAGCCCTTCGAGCACTAGAACACACTAGTACAGGTGGCTTTTGATCATGAACTGTGGTAACAAAATACCCTTTACATGGCAACCCTCAGACATACAGATGCAGATTTCAAGAAATGAAAACAAAAGTTTCAGATGATGAAACTTTCTCTTACTATAAGTGATACACTAATACTTTCTCTTCTATTTTATTTCATTTAAATAAAAAGAATAGAAATAAGCAAGCAAGCTGGGCCTTCATCCACCAAATTGATTTACCTCCAGCTGAAGGATTATAACTCACAAATGCTCAACAGTGCTTCAGTGGGCACTTGACCTATTTGAGGCTGCCCACACCTTTGGAACACACTTGGAGAATTTCCAACATTCTGAATCCCACACGTGTCTACAGGAGACGCCAGAGCTTGCTGCCCAGCCCTTGATATGGTACCAGGGCTCGGTTCTCCAGCTGCACCCCTGCCAGACTTGGCCCCAGAAGCTGGCGACAGCAGGGGTCCATGTGCAGCACTCCCCTTGCCCTCTCTCTCTCTCTGGCACTGGCCAGCAAGGACAGCAGTAGGGGTGGCACTCCTCACAACAGTGAAGGTGGCACTGATGACTGTGGCAGTCTCAGTTCTATTAGAGTTGCCTACAGAGGCAACAAGGGGACAGACTATAGCCAGTGCTCACTGGGGTTTCTTCGTTGGACTGGTTCTGGGAGATGGGCCAGTTCCTAGAAGCTTAGTCTGGAGACTGGTTTCCCAGCCCTCCTACCACTCTTCCACCAGCTCAAATCCTCTAAGTCTTTTTAATCAGCAGAGCCAGCTTCTGTTGCTTGCAACTTGGAATCCTGTCTGAAGCAAACATTACATTATAATTTTTATTATCAAACTCATTCTAAATTACCCCATCTCTTCTTAAAAAGAATACATTGAAATATTTCAAATGCTTTCTTTCAAATAATCAAGTTCATATTAGACAATCAGCTAAAAGTATCTCTTACCATCCAATCTATTCAGTTCCTTAGTTTAGACATGAGAGTTCAGAAGGTGAATTAGGTTCATTAGGGGCCCTGCTTTATCCAAAGTAATATGGTATCTGAGTTTTAGACAGCAAATAGTGAGAACACAGATAATGAGGGCTTTATCTCAAAGTTTCTCCAAACCTGTTTGATTTCTGAGTTCTGACAGTAAAGGCTTAGATAGCAACAAATTGCTGTATTCTTTCTAATCAGCCACTTCTTTCTCATAAAAGCAGTGAAACCAGAGTGCCCTTCCAGGTAACACAACATGGTTAACTTTCTTCAAGTCACTGAAAAACTGCTGGCTAAAAGTGTCATCTTTTAAGAAATTTTCTCTTCCACATGCTCTACCTCGCTGATAGGTGATGAGTGAATTCTATAGCTAGCAAGTATTACCTCATCCAGACCACTGAATTAAACTTTTGGTTATAACTGGGACCCCAGCTTTCTCTGTGGTTTCCTCTTAGATGAAACTCTAAAATTCTATGATTATTTGGCTTCCAACAGAATTTCATGCCCAATTAACACTTACAATCATAGAAACAGTGTTATTCTCAGGGGTGATCACAATTACAAATGTCAGCAGTACTTTCCTAAGCACTTGCCGTGTAGCAGGTTGGGGGATGAGATGTCCCACACATTCTCTCCCCACAGTTCTCCTGAGAGCTGGGGGATGAAGGTGCTACTACCATTCCCACTTTAAAGATAAGGACACTGAGGCTTAACAACATGCCTAGGGTCACACAGTCCACATATATATGTACCCTCTTATCAGCTAGCGGGCCTGGACCAGCTCAGGAGGAAAGCATGGAGGAAGTTGAGGCCATCTCAGAGCCAGGAGAGCAAGGGGAGAGAAGCAAGCAGTGAGTGCTGTTAAGAATTGCTGCAGTGTGGCAGTGATAAACAAGGTCAGCCAAAATGGGAGAGGACAGGAGACTGATGAAAGTTCCCTCACATCAACCATCAGAAAGGCCTCCTATGATTACTTCAAGAGGAATCTTCTAAAAACAGAACTCAGCCCTTTCTCACCTAACCCTATGCTGTGTGTCCAGAGCAAACAGGAGGACAAGGTGGTGGAGGAATTTGGGGATGATGGAGCCTTGCAGCTCTCCTTAACCTAACATGTAAGTGTGTTAGCCCAAGGCTATTTCTCTGTCACTCTGTGGTTCTGTGACAGGCACATATGTTGCAGAATCTGAAAAGAGAATTATCATCTTATTACAGCATTTTTTTAAAGCTCCACCTTGACAGACTCCTATTTTTTTCCTCTTTTCTCCAGATTTCCCACTTACACATCATAAAATCACATCATAAATGTTTCCTATAAAATACAACTTTTAAAAATGTCCTTTCAGCTTTGCAATTCAGAAATGCATTGGGTCTGAGAAAGGCTTAAGAAATCTGATGTGGTGGGTTTCAGATGAGATGGTAGTGTACCAGCAGCTCTACCCTGAAACAGATCCGTGGGCATCACTGGAGTCTTTGCCTACAAAAAGTGAGACAAAGAGTGTAAGGCGACCCTTCCAGCAGCTAACTTCAAAACCCAATCCAGGCTTTATTTTAGTCATCAAATATGCCCACTTCTTTCAGAAAAAACTGAATGTTTTGATGAAATATTTTAAAAAGTATATTCTAGTAGCATTACTCATGAAGAGTACCATCTTTACCATCAAAGACCGGAACACTGTTAAAAATATTCTTTTGCTTTTTAAAAAACTGAGGATGAGGCTGGCCTTTCTCTGTATCATAAACCTGACACTTATGCTCACTAGATTACCCACACCTGGTTACTGTAGCCAAATCAGCTTTAGAGCCATGCTTTCCACGGCATTCATCTGCCCAGCATGTCAATACTACCAAAAGCCTTCACTGAACATAGACCTTCTTTCCAGGCTATTTTCCCAGGAGCCTTGTGAGGAGAGGATTCCTTCCTCTGCCTCATGTTATGGTCAGGAGATGGTAAAGAGTGCCCCACCTCACAGTGTGCTAATCTACACTTTACATCTGACTGGATAAAAGTGCCTAGAAGATTGGCTCTCCAGGTACTCTTCTGGATTATGCAGGAGGAACCGTGAAGGCCCCTGAGGATGGAGTGAAGGAACAAGTGCTGTTCTTGTTCAGATTGTAGTTTTCTTACAAGGCACATTTAAAAAGGACATGTTTTATTTTCTTTATCAGTTCCTACATCAAGAATACATAACTTTCAATTAGTTATTAAGAGCAAGTTTGATTTCAAAATAGAAATGAAATGTCTTCACCATGAGAAGAGTAAGCATTTGAAAAGACTACCTCATAAATTAGAAAATAAGATCTTGACTTGCCAGCAACCTATTATTATGCCTGTGAATATATGAGTGTAAGGGATCTAACCTTAGAAGGTGTACTTCTTTTTTTTTTTATTTCCCCCCCTTTTTTTTAAAGTTTTGGTATCATTAATATAATCACATGAGCAACATTATGGTTACTAGATTCCCCCCATTATAAAGTCCCCACGACATACCCCATTACAGTCACTGTCCATCAGCATAGTAAGATGCTACAGTCCCTACTTGTCTTCTCTGTGCTATACTGCCTTCCCCGTGCCCTGCCCCCGATGTTACATGTGCTAATCGTCATGCCCTTTTCCCCCTTATCCCTCCCTTTCCACCCACCCTCCCCAGTCCCATTCCCTCTGGCAACTGTTAGTCCATTCTTGGGTTTTGTGAGTCTGCTGCTGTTTTCTTCCTTAAGTTTTTGCTTTGTTCTTATGCTCCACAGATGAATGAAATCATTTTGTACTTGTCTTTCTCCGCCTGGCTTATTTCACTGAGCATAATACCCTCTAGCTCCATCCATATTGTTGCAAATGGTAGGATTTGTTTTCTTCTTATGGCTGAATAATATTCCATTGTGTATATGTACCACCTCTTCTTTATCCATTCATCTATGGACACTTAGGTTGCTTAGAAGGTGTATTTCTTTTAATCAAAATCAGAAGTTGCCTCTTCAACAGCTACACATTTGTGTCCTCAGGGCCTCTTAGTCTGCTCCTCCCCTTGATTTTTTTTTTCAGCTTTATTGAGGCATAATTGAAAAAACTGTAAGACATTTGATTACCATCATTTATAAATTTAAATCCCGAGAAAAAAACAAGATGAATAAAATTATCTCTAAGTAAACTTCAAACTTAGGTAATTTTTTTATAAGAAAAAGTAGAGGAGCAGGGGACAGAGAATGAGGGAGACAAGAACTCTTAACTTTAGGAGACTTCAAACCTCAAGGAGATGTGATTGGTGCTATCTTAGCTCAGAAAAGTCAAATGAGGTAAAAGGCAAACACAAAGATACACTCAGGAAAAATTAAGAAATATTAGTATTTAGCTCTCCTCATGGTGTTCCTCTTACAGACTAGGAAAGGAAAAGAAAGGGTTAATTCTGTGAACTTTTTTCCTGGTATACGTATTTTTATTGAGAGGCCACCATGGCCAGGCTCTGGGAGAACAGATAAGGTTGGATGGTTTGA